ATATAAGTGTATACAAAGGAATTCAACCGGATGATGATAACAAAAAAACAGAATGGAAAATGAAATTTTCTTTAAAAGTTAAGTATTTTCTATGATAAAAAATCAAACCGAGAGGATCAAACTATGGTAAAAAAACGAAAAAAATCTACTTCTATAAAACGAAAAATTAACCAAAACAAACCCTATGTCTATATGTGTTTCCTAACCAAAATTATCATGAATACTTGAAATCAAAATTTGCTTTTTATATTCCAAAATTAATTAGCCAAATGATTAATGATTTTGAAACAACATCTTAAAGAAATAATTACCCACAACAACAACATCACCTTAGTGCCAAGGCCGTATGAATTCTGTTTTTCCATTCATTTCGGTTTTACGTGTATTCTGGTCATTAACATACTAAATAGTAAGTGAAAAGATTATGTTGATCCGTAGAGAACTCTGAGATTTGTATCTGTACATCCTTTAATTAGGGCTTATTTAATAATTGGTTTCGTAGAAAAAAGCTATAATTTCTTACCGCATTAGTTCAAGCTTTGGGTTCGTAGAAGGGAGGGTAAAAGTTGGCGGCTATTGTATTTTGTTTTTAATCGAATCGTCGAAACCAATCGAATCTAATAACATATACTATAACCGAAAACCGAATTTGATATAAAAACCAAAACCGAACTGAATCGAATCGATTAAAAATATAATTTTAAAAATCGATTTTTAAAAAAAAAATGAGTAAAAAAAGGATAAATTCGATGGGTTTGGTTTTGAGAACTAAGGGGTAAATTTGGAATGAGTTAATTTTTTCGATTTTTTTTTTGTCTTTATACAAGTAAAAACGAAATCTATATAAAAAAATAGGTAGTTAATTCAAATTGGATAAACAAAATCGATTCGAACCAAGTCGAAAAATCCATAATTGTATTTCAAAACGAATTTGATATAAAAAACGAATTAAAAAAAATTAAAATCCAAAGAACTTGAAGAAAAAGTGAACCAAACTCTATGTTTTTTTTAAACTGAAAAACCAGAATCCAAAAATAAAAGAACCGAATCAAAACTTACCCGTCATCGTCCATTTAACTCTTTTTTTTTCACTTTAATTTTCTTACTTCCACATTTATTCTCCTTTAGTTTCTCATGAAAAATATAATATTGTAATATTTTTACACAGGAGGATCTTTCTCTGATGTTTGATGCTTTTTAGTTGCCCGATATTTATAAAATTTCAAATATGTTATTTAAAATATGCAAATTGAAAAAAGTGAACAAGAATCGGAATATTTATTTCATTTGAATATCTTTGATTTGATGTTTATACCCAATCAATTTTTTAGATATTTTCTAAATAATTGTGATATTACAAAAATAACCTAAGAATTGAAGAACATATAGAGTTTTTTTTAGAAATTACATAACTAGGGTTCAAAGGACATGAATACTATGAAAAAGATGACAAATACATCACTGATATTTTAAGTTGCATCAACTAGGACAGTAATATCTTCATATGGTCAATTACAAGTTAATTTTACAAGTAAATTTTGCATTAATATAAAATACACAAAATAGGTTCAAGTTGAGTTTTACAATCAACATATGTTATTGAATTTGATTTTTTTTTTCAAATATATCTCAAATTGTGGTTTAAATGTGGTATGAATCACACACAAAAAAAAAAAAGAATACTATTGATGTTAATGGTTTTAATGCTCACTCATAAAACCTTATACAAAATACTCATGGAGAGAGAGAGAGATTGGGCCAGAGGAAAAGTGTGAGGAGAAGCAAATTGGACCACCAAATTTTCGAGTTTTGGATTTTGTTCCACAGAACCAAGCCCCTGAAACCCGTGAACTCCTTTCAACGTGTCTCTGATCTCACACAATGTCCCCTCAATTATTGTATTTGGCCTTCGTTTCATATATATAACCTTGATTCTATTCTACCCAAAATGGAAAAAAAAAAAAACTTGATGACCCTTCACGAATCACAACTACTAGAAACTTTCAATTTCCTAAAGAGATCCAATCATTTGTGAAACAAGTATGAATACATGTCAGATGCAGACCAAAGGTTCCCTACATATGAACATGACATGAATCCTAGTCCTAGAGGGTTAAATAATGATCTCTATAGTCTTAAAAAAAAATTCAGAAGTCTTGAAACCCATTTGAACCATGAACCACAAGAAAGGGATTCTTACAGATTCATGGACAATGGGGAGGAGCAGGATCTTCTCATAGGTTAGCCAAAAAAATAAATGACGAGATAGCTCCGACCGGGTAAAGATTTAAGGGGACTGAGTTCGTCAATCGGCGGAAGAGAGTTAACTCACGGGTTTAATCATCCTCCGCATATGTGCACCCAGTTCGCCAAACTGATCATTGACTGTGTCCTCCGAGAGCCGGATAGCATCCAGCTTCTGTTTAAGGATGTCTATGGCATCGAGAACAAGCTGAGACGCCTTGATTGCTTACCTGTGGATTCCACTGTGAACATAAAACTGTCTTCTTTTGGGCGGATCTCGATCAGAGTATGCTTCAGGATCAACCACCACAATCTACTCATTTGCAGATGATAAGTGAGAAAATAAAGAGGTCTCAGTGAGGTTATCCCAACCAAATCAAGATTCTGATATGAAAATTAGTCAATGAATGAAACATGCTTATATAAAGAATTGAGAGTTATTAAACTTGTCATAGAAATTTTGGAATGAGTCACCTACTTGCAAGTAAATAACATGAAAGGAAAGGTAAATCATGCTTCAACAATGGATTCTTTCTCCCATTTCTATGTTATCCGTGTTGCATGAATCTATGCAACCGGATGTATACGGACATAAAATTTTGCAATTTGGCAATAATATTTTAACAATAGTTTCGATACCATTTCGTTTCAACTGAAGGGTCCTGAAATATCTCAAGGAAAAACTCGGTAAAACAGAGAGCAGAAGCTTACTGGGAGTTCACACTACTACAGTCAATGCACAATTGGACACAGAGGATCCAAGTACTGCTTTTAAATGACAAGACAAAGATATATAAGGCCTAATGGACAGAAGGAATGAGCCTATAACCATCACTAGACTAGACCTATATACATATATATTTGAGAACATAGTACACAATGAGCCAATTTGACGCCATTCTCATAAATAGCCAGACATATCTTGTTTCAACAATGATCTAGAGACTCAGTTGGTACCGAGACTGAAACACGCTGGATTCAGACTAAAATAGCCAGGGCCCGCTAGTACTGTCTAATGGAAAGGTAAAGTAGAAAGAGAAACTAATGCACCAAAGACCTTGATCGAATTACTAGATCTATGAACATCTATGTTTGGAACCAAAAGCAACCAGCAAGAAACTTTATTTAAGTCTAAAAAATAAAACCTTGTAAAGAGATCATTCAATAATTATGTAGAGACTAACCTGTCTGGTTGCATGATCAAAATCAAAAACTTTGGTGGGCTATTATCGATCAATTTCATTTTTTCCTCGTCTGACAAAGTTTAAATCAAGTCTTGGTTGATTGTTATATCTGGCTCATACACAGGTCACAGTAGCTGCAGGAGCCGATCCTTTTCTAGCTATTGCTTTAAGCCTCAAATCTTGTCCTCGACGCAACTTCACGATCATGATCCCCCTGGAATACAAAAACAAACCATCTGCTTTGAGAGAAAGAGAATCAAATAATTCCCAAGTCAAAACGACCAAACTCAGAGAACATTATCAAAATCTACTCTTTTGATGCTAAGAACGAAGCGCCAAAAAAAAAAAACAAATCCAGACGAGAACCAGAAACTCGTGATTTTTCACTTTTGTATCTTATACGGGACTTCAGAGACTTGGCCGCATGATTTCTTCGGAGATCCAGACGGATCAATTCATTGGATCAGTCACTCAAGTAACCTAATGCGGCTTCTACTTACCTAGCCCAAGGTACAACCATAAATAGAAATTCACCCAATGGCGATTTCTAATTCGACCATCAAGCAGAAAGTATTGAAATGTGTTTTCATGCTCATCTAGTCTAGCAGCTCCAGCCCAGTTATAAAGATAAACTCAATGCAATCCATTATCCATGTTACTGCATCTCAATATTTTGACGACCACAGATTAGCATCGAACTGCAGACAAAACATACAATTCTAAATCCGAATAGCCACAAAGCAGCAAACATCGAGAAAACCCATCACGACAGAGACAAAGGAGACAAAACAAAAGAGAGAACCTCTGCTCAGTCGAAACCAACCCAGACGGGTCGGAGAAATTGACCGAAGTAACAGTAGGATCTGCGCTGTACAAATCCCTGCTGGTGACATCTAGGGTTTGGTCGCCGATGCACTTTGGCCTAAGATGAAACTCGACCGAGCAGTACTCGCACTGACCGTCACCATCGCAGGAATCTCAGTTGCGAGAGAAACGCATGCCCATGGCGCGTTCGCTGGTGAGAGTGATGAGCCCGAGCCGGTGAGGCGATGAATTCATCGTAAGGACAGTGGAATTGACCTCAATTTCGACCAGGTCGATGGCAATGCTGGGTACCTCGGCGATCATAACTCTCCGGAGTGCGTTCGCCATGGAGGCGTCGGCCTCCCGAAGCTCGAACTTCACGAAGTCATCTCTCAGGTTACGGATCTTCACCTTCGGAAACCTCTGATACGAGACACCATCCATTTCAAACCTAAGTGTTTTTCTTCTTCCTCCTCCTCTCGTAGCTTCTGATTCTGCTTAGCTTCGTTAGGGTTTGGAATCTCAAGTCGAGAGTGTCCCGAGGAAGAAGCTAAAACAGTACGCGAAGGGTTTTAGGAAAAAAAAAGTTTTTTTTGTTTCCCATTTTGTCAACGTAACGTGGCATACTTTTATTGGTTAAGCCAAGGAATGTAATATGGGAGTGAAGGGAGGGGTAAAATTGGAAATCCGAAAGTGTAAGAGGAGAAACTGTTCCCCTTTGGATTTTTGATCGCTCTCTCTCGCTATCTATCCCTTCGTGTCGCAGATCCGAGTCTCTGCGAGACTCTCTCTCCATCTCTCTCTCTCTCTCTCTGAAGAAGAAAGCCCTAACTCGGCAACTGTATCTTGCGATCAACTCTGCAGCAGGTTGATATTCTTCTACGCTATTTTAATCGAGATTCGATATTTTCTCCCGTGAGTTTTTGCTGTGATGATTGTCGAGGAATGGTCGGATCTTCGTCTTTTCTGTTCTGATTCGGACTCTTTCGATGAATTTGGTTGAGATTGTGCTCGTGGGTTGAATTTGAAAACGGTGGAATTTGCGTGGGATGATCTGATTTTCTTCTGCTGACGTTTACGAAATCTTTGTAGATCGTGTTTGTTTATTACTTCTCGTGAATTGAATTGTACCGAGGTTGAAGAAGTTCATAATATTCCGATGATAATGAGTGACACAATCTCAGGATCTGCTGATATCAATTTTCTCTCCATTCATTTATAGTTCTTCCTGGTCATTCGTGGTTTTAATCTATGCGATTACGCATGATAATGTGTAAAATGAAAGTAAATTTACTTATTTTTGTTTTGCCTTATTGCCGTAGGGTTTTAGATCAGTTCTATCTCCGGTGGTCTTAAGCTGCTGAAGTATCCATGGATCAGGCGGAATTGACCATAGATCAGGTTGGTGATGCAACGTTATCAAACCTGATTTGCATTTTCCTCGTTTTCATACAGATCAGACCCTTCAAACGTAATTTGTAGTATATCAGAACAGGTCAATTGACATAGGAATCTCGGTTTCGCAGCGATTGTGGACTTTGCACTTGTGTCTTGTTCCTGAATCTCTGGAGCCCTTCTGTGACCTGAATGGGATTAGCATGTAGAACTGAACAGATGTTTAAAGTTTTTACCTTATTTTTAAAAAGAAAAATCCCGTTACTTGTTTCTAGATGTAATGGGAATGTAAATCCTAGGTCATTATTTTTTTTTGGTAATGCTACAGAATTTGTACTCCGAAGCATTTTCCAATATGTAATCTCTGCCATCATTTTATGTTGTAGGTCTTGAAAAGGGACATTCCATGGGAGGCGTACATGACAACTAAGCTGATTTCGGGGACAGGTCTCCAGCTGTTAAGGCGCTATGATAAAAAATCTGAGAGTGCCAGAGCGCAGTTACTGGATGAAGTAAGGGATCTATAGTTCTTTGTAGATATTTTGTTTTGGGACACTCAAAGTTCTTTTTCACAAACTATTATCTATTATGGCAAATGATACTGTTTTTCTCTACCATCAGTTTCTCTGTAAAATTTCTGCGCATAACTAATTAATGATCCTGCAAGTGTTTGCTATGGCATTTTAGAAATGATATGTGGATCTTGTTAATGCAGGATGGTCCAGCTTATGTTCATCTGTTTGTTAGCATTTTGCGCGATATATTCAAAGAAGAAACAGTTGAATATGTTTTGGCTTTGATTTATGAAATGCTCTCAGGTACATCATGTTGCTTGAATCTTGATGGCATGAACCTTTATTTTCTTCTCTTTTGGATAACTAATATATCAGTTACTTACTATGGCAGCAAATCCGAAGCGGGCCCGTTTATTTCATGACAAATCTTTGGAAAATGAGGATACTTACGAGCCTTTCTTAAGTTAAGTCCCTGCTCAAAAATCTTGTGACTTTAACTTGCTCCATCTTGTATGATCTTCGTTACCTTTTTGGAGCTATAGTCTGAGTATATGTTCCTCCAGCATTGGCACTAGCCTAATGCTCATCATATTTTATTTGTTCTTTAACTTGAAATATTAAATCCTTAGATGCAGCCTCTTCTATTTTTCTTCAATTCTGCTGTTTATGTATCCGTTGTCAACGGCCCTCACTTTAAACAGTGAGAGGGAACTGACCATTTTTGGTAGATTTATCTGCCTATTTTTGCATATGTTGTTTTGGGGTGTGTTATGGCTTCATCTAAAGTTTTTAGAACTCTCTTATTATTTTTTTAATGTGTGTAACTATATTGCATAAGCGTTCTTTATGGTGAGCTGGATGTGGTTTAGCACAACATTCTTCCTGTCCATTTGAAACGTTGTTTGTTCTGTCAGTTGGAACTTGCCCAATTGCTACAATGGAAGGAATTTATCAGACATCCTAATTTTACTTGTACTGATAAAGTTTGTTTCATTAATTTTTGTAAATCTTCCGAAAGACAGGTGAAAATATGTAAACCTTAGATGGGGAACTGGAGAACAATTATATTTTGCTCCCTTTGGGTTATTCATTATCAAAAGCATTAAGCTAAAAGAGTTTGTCCTCTTTCAGGCTACTTTGGAAAGGCAATTGGTTCGTTCAAGAAAAAAGCTGTCAGATTCTTGCCTGGATAATAAGGTAGTTAAAGTTTATTTGCTTTATGATATGTTTACTTTTTGTTGTTTAATAATTGTACATGGCTGACATCATTGTTTAAATGGGGAACCATTTCTCATTTCTTAATATACAGTGCTAGGCCAAAAGCCGAAAATGGTGTTATTGCTAATGGAGAAACTTCAGACTCAAAGAAATCTATTACTACAATTAATGATGTACTAAAGGGGTTGGTGGAATGGCTTTGTGTTCAGGTTTCTTCTTCTCCCTCTCTCTATTGTCCCAATTGGTGTTTGGCCATACCTGGGGTCCAAGCTTGAGACGTCTCTGTATTTTAAACCATTGCAGAACCATAGCTAGAGCTCATTGGTATTTTTGCATTAGGAAAATTGAACCACTTGATATTTGTTCTCATGAAAATGAAAATGCCGTTTTGACCAAGCATCTGATAATTATTCAAAACCTGATCCAGCCTGAATGAGAGAAATAAAAAACTAACTATAGTCCATGCAAAGGATTCTGCTGGCCATTCGAGTGGTCTCTTTGGTATTCTTAAGTTGTCCTCCATTTTCTATCTCCTTGTTCTTGCTCATAAAAGAACCAGGCCTTTTCTTTCCATTTCCATTTTTCACTTCTTATGTCTTTTCCCCTTGCTATACCCATGTCCAGTATTTTCTTGCAGGTCATATCACTCCTTGTCCATATCTACATTATAGGGGTTAACTTGAACTTCAGAAATAGTTTCTAATTTTCTAGAACAATTTTTTGCTCTTTAGGAGGGAAACTCTAAGTTACGAGAAAGCTATAAAAAAGCATGTAATACTTGAAGTTACTTTTCGCTATAAATCAATCTTTGATCTTCAAAGCTATGATTACATATTAAAACTATGAAGTAACTGCCTTGTGTGACTTTCCGTGCTAAGTTCCATTGTCTGAGCTGCGAAATATTTAGTTAGAAGTTGTGTGAACCTGGAAGAACCATGTTGAATTGTAACAGAAATTTTTATTCCGAAATAGCTTTAGATGTTTATCATATAATCATAGTCATGATCGTTCTTTTTATATGCAGTTGAGGCAACCTTCTCATCCTACTCGTGGTGTTCCTATTGCAATAAGCTGCCTGGCATCCTTGCTCAAGGAACATGTGGTCAGATCGTCATTTGTTCAGGCAGATGGAGTGAAGTTGCTTGTCCCTTTAATTTCCCCAGCATCCACTCAGCAGTCTATTCAGGTAACTGTTCTTCTGGAGGCGTTTTTAACTTCTAAGTGAACAATGCCCAAGACAACAATAATATACTCTTAAGTACTGCAATTCTTCAATAGGTGATGAGGAGAAACTGACCGTGAAACTCACTCTGGTCTTTTGATGACCATTTAATCTGTGGATTTGTAGTGTGCTTTATTTCCTTCTTAGTTTCCCAATAGATAGGATAATGTTTTTGCTTTGTAACTTGCTAAATTCTTCTTACACTATAGTTTCTCTTCTATCATTGTTTTTGACTTGCTAAACATTACATGCTGCCGGAGCACGTAAAATTCTTGCGATTTTCGTTCTCTCTTTTGGCAGCTTCTCTATGAAACGTGTCTGTGCATCTGGCTTCTTTCCTATTATGAGCCTGCAATCGAGTTCTTGGCGACATCTAGGACACTGCAAAGGCTCACCGAAGTCGTAAAGAGCTCAACTAAGGAGAAGGTAAGGCTTTGCTTTCTGGTCACTGCTGAAAGGCTCTCACGTTCATAGCTGAAAGTGTTACTGGATATGTTTTTGCACTGGATCCATCCTCTACCTCTGTTAAGATCATATGTTATGTTAGGGTTAATGAATCAGAATTTCTGCTACATGATAAATGCTATCTTTTAAATTATATGGTAGAATTGCCTTTTGATTCACATTGTTTCTATATTATGCACTTGTTATGTTCATTTGACATCACGCCTGACCGCGGGTATTTTGTCTGTTAGGTCGTGAGGGTGGTTATCTTGACTTTTAGGAACTTGCTTCCGAAAGGTACATTTGGTGCTCAGATGGTTGATCTTGGACTCCCACACATTGTTGCTAGTTTAAAGACACAAGCATGGAGTGACGAGGTAAGGAAAGCTTAGCTTTCTTTATTTTGCTCTCATAATGGGCAACGCTGATAATTGCTTATATGTTATATTGAAATTGAATATGGATTCTACGATATGGGTGTCGTTTAGTTAAAATTCTCAGATTGTAGATGTTTTATGCAAGCAAATATGGCCACTACTAATTCTTTTAATTCGGAATTCTCAAAAGGATTTATTGGAAGCCCTGAATCAACTCGAGGAAGGCTTGAAAGACAAGATCCGGAAACTGAGTTCTTTTGACAAGTACAAGCAAGAAGTCCTTCTCGGCCATCTTGACTGGACCCCGATGCACAAGGACCTTGCGTTCTGGCGCGAGAATATCATGGGCTTCGAAGAGAATGACTTCCAAGTACTCTTTTTAACCTTTTTTTTCGTTCTTTATGGATTTGATCTTTAACATTGAAGAACCGACATTATCTCTTTCTTCTGCAGATTCTCAGGGTCTTGATCACGATCCTGGATTCATCCAGCGATCCAAGATCGCTAGCCGTGGCATGCTATGATCTGTCGCAGTTCATACAGTACCATCCGGCTGGCCGAGTCATAGTGAACGACCTCAAGGCGAAAGAACGAGTGATGAAACTGATGAACCACGAGAACTCGGAAGTAACAAAGAACGCTCTCTTGTGCATCCAGAGGCTTCTCCTCGGGGCAAAGTACGCAAGCTTCTTGCAAGCTTGATTGATGCTTTCCTTTCCCAATCCATCGTCATCGTCATCCATCACTATTCACCTCTCCTTGTGGTGGGTCTTTTCGTTTTCTTCCGTTCGAGTGTGCTTATGTTTCGAAACCTTGGAACTTAGCCATCCCCTTTTCTATTATTCCCGAGATTCTTCATGGGAGATTATGTTCTTTTTGTACCTTGAGAGCTGTGCTTGAGTTGTATTTATTTGTTGAAAATAAAAGCCTTGACATTGACTGATGCTTATGTTCTTATCAGGCATTTTCTTGTACCATTCTGTTGTATGATGATACAGGAGTCGAACCTGAATTCATTTGTTACATTTTCTTTCAAATGATGTTGCTCTAAGACCCTTGAAATCACTTTTTTTTTTTAAAAAAAAAAAATCTTGTAAAAGAGCAGAAAAACCAATATTTTCCGTAGCTTAAATCGGAAAATGGAAAATAACAGAAATTAGGGTAAACCCATGAAAATCACCTAAAAAGTTTCAGATTCCTGTTCCGAAGAAATTTTATATTGTGACTTGAGGTTTCGGACAAATACTTAGTGTAAGGGTAACTTTTGTCCTGAGAGAGAATCATGAAGAAGCAAAAAGGACACAGTAGATATGTCCAAGCAGAGTCATCATCCTTAAAAGCAGATTGTGTTAACATTTGATTTAGAGCTTATGGCATCCCATTTTCTGGTTGAAGTGACAATACTATCCCATTTGAACTATAAAACATTCGAAACCCCACAAAAATAAATTGCTAATGACAGCCAAGACATTCACATTTCATGTTCTCTTCTCTTCTATACAGTCTTACAAGCCAAGAGCATGACTACTTTACTAATTACATACACGGATACATACATACATACATACATACATACCATTGGAATTCCATGTCCGTCTTCTGTTCTGAGCTTCTTATTTGCTTAGTAGTACTATCTACAAATGTATCATCCTGCAAAAACCGAAATCAAACCAAGAAAATTTGTATTACCGATGTTTTCAAAACCACATTGAACCAAAGAGAAGATCTATGAACAGCTTTTGGTTCTGAGGAAGAACCGGTTTCACGTTTGACAAACCAGATCTTGTATTGAAGAGCGTAGTAATTGTACCGAGTTTATGCAAGAAAAACAGAAACTTACACAGGAGGAGGATCACTTGATGAGAATGCATCTAACTGGCGATGCATCGGCTCCCACCAATCTCAGCGGTAAGCAATGGAGGGAGTATAGTCCCGCCTCTACGCCATCGAGCTTCAGTCCTTCCACGGGAATGATATCCTGAAAGCATAAATCACGCCTTGAACAAAGCAAGGTACTCGTTTCAAACATGTCACGAGAACCAAGGAGGTTTCAATTACGGCAAAGAAGGATTTACTTACACGGCCTCGTAATAAAACAAGGTGGGTCGCTTCCAGATCAGTGAAAGCAGCTACGGAGAGATAATCAGCACCTAGATTTTATAAAACTGAAAATATCAGCTGGATAACTCGGTCGTAAGGAAGTGAATACATGTGCAGAAGATGTAAAAGAAGATACACTTGAAGGGTGAATAAACAATATGCTTAGCAGACACTGAAAACGCATCCACTCGAGTAACAGAGTTACTCCGGAAAGATGGTATCTTTTGTGCTTTTTCAGTTCTCTGAATCAGAAGGATGTAAGAAAAGGATCCCCGGTTACACATAACACAGGAAAAAGAAACAAAAAAGAAGAAAATACAAATGAACAGGCAAAATTTCGCAACGGGGATAAACTGTTTCAGTATCTCAGACTAAATAAAGAAGACTGCAAGAAACAAACCGAGAAACTCGAACGGCAAACTGCAGCCACGTGTTCATGAGCATAGAGAAGAAAATATAGAAATTCCATTGTTACCAACAAGTTTGATGTCTGTGTTCTCCACCAACCATCTCGCTCCATCGCTCCGGAAACCAACATAGCTTGAATCAAATTCTTTCTTGAACATAAGCCGCCTGACATTTTTCAGACAAGACAAACCAGTTTTCAGACATCTAGCTTATGGTTCATCTCAGACGGCGCTCAATCACAAAACAGAAGGCACATACAAAACTCATCACAGCCACCATTTCTGAATGCCAATCATGAAAAAGTTTGCTTCTTTTAAGTAAACAAGCATTGAAACCGGAGTCTAGGGACATTCATAGTTTGATGTATCTTGTCTAGGAAAGAATTTCTTTGCAAGAGAAGGTATTTGAGCATAGAAATTCACCTGTCAGTGTTCAACGTTCTGAAAAGCACACGGCGAGTTCCCTTCGGGATATGAAGCGATTCCATTACCTCGGCTTTGAAAGAAAGAAGCCACAATCAAGACAACACATGATCAGATAACGAATAACATCTTGCTTCCAGTTCCGTTAACACAGAAATTCAACTCACCAGTGATGTTCTTGTCCCTCGGAACATCAACCAACAGTGCAGGGCCTACCAAACCAAACAGCCCAAGCTCAAACGATCACACACCCACAAATTCAAAGACAATGGGAACAGAACCCAACGAGATAAAATCGAGTTTACCGTTTAGGGTTTCGAGATTAAGCGAATCGGCGTCGAAACCAGCATCGTAATAGTGGTCGTAGAAGTGACCCGGTGCGTCGACATGGGTACCGGTGTGGACAGAGAACTTCATCTCCGAGAAATTGTAGATGGATCCATTCTTCATGCTCGCCGTCAACCTCAGGAACTTTCCCAATCCTTCGGACGACTCAAACGCCGGCATCTCCGGCGTGTAACGGTGGCTGATGTCGAACATCCTGCCTCCGTCGTAAACCTCCCGGCGGATTGGCTTGAGACCATCGGAGGGATAGGCCTCACCAGCGGCAGCTAGGAGGAAGAGCCCGACGAAGAGGAGGGAGGGAAGAGGAATGTGAGTCATGGTCCGAGTTCCGAGTCTGGTCGAGTTGGGTTGGCGTGAAATGAGAGCAGTAATAATGCTCACTCTAAATCTTTGAAATGGTCAACAAATTCAACGCTTCAATTTTCCACATATCCATGGAAAAAAGACCCAAAGAATAATGATGATAAAGGAAAAATCTCTAATTAAATTGAAATTCAATTATAAATATTTAAAATGATAAAGACTGAGTCATAAGTCTTATTTGATAAAATCTGGAATTCGTGGAAATTTTATATAGCTAAATAAAAACATGAGGCAATATTTATTATTTACACATTATTATATAAACAATAATTGAGTTATTCGACATCTGTCGCTGTCTCCACAATAAAATTAGAGTTTAAAACTAAAGTGTGGGACCGGGGTTTAGTACTTTCTCAGAAGAAAAGATATTTTTTTAATATTTGAATTAAAATTGACCTTTTTTTATTTATTCAATTAAAAAAATTGACGTAACCTTTTTTTATTGAATTAAAATTTTAAAAAGAATGATTAGGCGTTACTTATGACATATGGATTAGAATATATACATATTTGACGTAAGATTTCCAAAATATTATAGTTTTGTTATAAATGAATAGTGAAGCTACGACACTGTTCACGCAGCCGGGTACTGTTCACACCGCCATACGGTTACTGTTTAGCCGTCATACGGTTACTGTTCATAAATACGTATACGTAAACAGTAACTTCGGATTTTCGATAAATAGCTCATTTCTCTCCTTCATTTGTACACAATTCGAAGAAAAGAAAATTATTGAAATCTTGTTCCCGGGTCTCTCAAACGATCGATTTCGGTTTCTAGTTAACGATCTGATTATCGGGTCTCGATATTTCTTCGTTTTTCACAACAAGTTTGAAATATTTGAAAGTTGTAATATAATTTTCTATTCACGACCCAATGTCAATCTGCTTCTTTACTCAGTACATATACAGATACATACATAGCATTGGTCTTACATGTTCGTCTTCTGTTCTGGGCTTTTCATTCTTCAGACTCTTATTGCTTGCTTACTATCTACAATTGTATCATCCTGCAAAACCCGAAATCAAACCGAGAAAATCGGTATTACCGATATTTTCAAAACCAGAGGTTGAACCGAAGAGAAGATCTATGAACACCCCTTTTGGTTCTGAGGAAAAGTCGGTTTCACATTTGACAAACCAGATCTTGAATTGAAGAGCGTTAATAGTTGTACTCAGTTTATGCAAGAAAAACAGCAACTTACATAGGAGGAGGATCACTTGATGAGAATGCATCTGACCGGCGACGCCTCGGCTCCCACCAATCTCAGCGGTAAGCAATGGAGGGAGTACAGTCCCGCCTCTATGCCATCGAGCTTCAGTGCTTCCACGGGAATGATATCCTGAAAGCATTTTCACATCTTGAGCAAAGCAATGTACTCGTTCCAAACATTTCATCTGAAATCGTATAGTGCGGTACTAAGAAAGGTTTCGGATATACTTACACGGCCTCGTAATAAAACATGGTGGGTCGCTGCCAAATCGGTGAAAGCAGCTACGGAGAGATAATCAACCCCTAGATTTCACAAAAATGGATTGCAAGTTAGATACATGTGAACAGCAAGTAAAAGAATATAAACTATATGCTGATCAGTCAAAATAAATCCCTCGGCAGGGTGAAGAGGATGCACAAACTGAAAATGGCAACCATGAAAAACCACTCGAGCGAGAGTTACTCCAAAAAGATGGGAACTTCGGTGTTTCAGTTCTCGGAATCAGAAGAAGTATTAACTCGAAAGGAAAAGAAACAAAATAAGCAAATACAAAACATGCCATGGGATTTCCTTTGGTTTTAAGAGGCTCAAAGATGGTTAAATAGGCGAAATTTCGCCACAGGGGAATAAATTGTTTTAGTATATCAGGAAAAAATAGATAAAGAACAGTTCAAGAAACAAACCGGTAAACTCGAACGACAAACTGCAGCCACTGGTTTGTGAACATAGAAAAGACAATATAGAAAATCCGATGTTACCAACAAGTTTGATGTCTGTGTTCTCCACCAACCATCGGGCTCCATCGCTCAGGAACCCTACGAAGCTTGAATCGAATTCTTTCTTGAACATAAGCCGCCTGGCATAGTTCAGACAAGACGAACCAGTGTTCAGACATCTAGCTTAAGTTTCATCTCAGATGGCGCGCTCAATCACTAAACAGAGGCCACATACAAAACTCATCACAGCCCACATTTCCGAATGATCCAAAGGAGACCTCAATCATGAAAAGTTTGCTTCTTTCAAGTAGACAAGCATTGAAACCGGAGCCTAAGCACATTCACGGTTTGATGAAACTCTGTCTTGGAAAGAACTTCCTTGCAAGAGAAGGTAATTGATCACAGAAATTCACCTGTCAGTGTTCAACGTTCTGAAAAGCACACGGCGAGTTCCCTTCGGAATATGAAGCGATTCCATTACCTCGGCTTTGAAAGAAAGAAGCCACAATCAAGACAGCACATGATCAGATAACGAATAACATCTTACTTCCAGTTCCGTTAACACAGAAATTCAACTCACCAGTGATGTTCTTGTCCCTCGGAACATCAACCAACAGTGCAGGACCTACCAAACCAAACAGCCCAAGCTCAAACGATCTCAAACCCACAAATTCAAAGACAATGAGAACATAACCCGACGGGATAAAATCGAGTTTACCGTTTAGGGTTTCGAGATTAAGCGAATCAGCGTCGAAACCAGCATCGTAATAGTGGTCGAAGAAGTGACCCGGTGCGTCGACGTGGGTACCGGTGTGGACAGAGAACTTCATCTGCGAGTTATTGGCGATGGATCCGTTCTTCATGCTCGCCGCCAACCTCAGGAATTGTCCCAATCCTTCCGACGACTCAAACTCCGGCATCTCCGGCGTGTAACGGTGGCTGATGTCGAAGATCATCCCTCCGTCGTAAACCTCCCGGCGGATTGGCTTGAGACCGTCGGAGGGGTAGGCCTCATTGGCAGCGGCGTCGAGGAGGGAGAGTCCGACGAAGAAGAGGAAGAGAAGAGGAAGGTGAGTCATTGTCCGAGTTCCGGGTCTACTCGGGCTGGGTTGGCGTTCAAGGAGAGGAGTCTGAACTCAGGACTCAAGTTAACAATGCCCAATCGTCATATTAGCTGCCTGGTTGTTTGATTTGCTATTCATCAAATGAAAAAGACCCCTAAAATAGTGGAGGAGGAAATTTGCTAATTTTGGAAAAAGATTGAAAATTTATATTTTTTCTGTCATCTGCAAATTATATATTTTTGTGCGAAATTTTGACAAAAATACTCTTCTCGTCTAATTTCTATATTATCATTTAGCGTCACAAAAAACACGGATGAAAAATCGATTTATTAGGATAAGATATGTTATGAAGGATAAAACTGTTTTTTGAAAAAGTTTTTCATTTGAGAGCTTTTAATGATGAAATTATTTTTTTTTCCAAAATAACTATTTTCGTTAGAAAGAACTTGTTTTCGTTCGTAGGTTCTTTAGAATAAAACTGTCTCGTTCGAAAAAACCTATTTTCATTTGAGAGTTGTTTCATTTGATAGAACCTATTTTCGTTGGCAAACCCTTCCGAACGAAGCTGTTTTTTTAACAAGTTTTCGTCCAAAGAATTTTTTATAATGAAACTGTTTCGTCAAAAAAATATATATTTTGATGTGTAATCACTTTGAAAAAAAATATTTTGTAAAATTTTAAAATATACAAAAGTATTCTTGATATTAATTAAAAAATATAATATATAAATAACAACTTTTTTTATATAATTTTCGGTCAACCCTTACCTTTGCCATACTTTACCAAGAACCCTTTCATAAAATAAATTTAGGTATTATGTACCGTATTTGTTTTTCTATCTTTAATATTTAAGAGAATAAAAGAAGAATATTTAAGGTAAAATACGAAGAAAAAAAACAGAGAAAATAAAAGCAGGTTTAAGAGAATATTAGAAAAAATGAAACGGAATCTTATGACCAAATGGAAAAGTATTAACGAAACAAGTAATTAGAAAAGAATGGAGAGCAAGAGGAAAAGAAAAGTAAAGCAAACAACCTGCATATTTGTAATTTAAAAAAAAAATCACAATATATGAGACATCGATTATAAAAAATATGAAAATCTAATCTCTCCCTCTCTCTCTCTCTCTCTCTCTATATATATATATATATATATGTAAAAATAAAACATAATTTTTAACATAAAGTAGAAATGTAAATACTTTCAAGGGGACTAGCTGTTAGGGATGGACGGCTTTGGACAGCCATTCAAGGCCGTCGTATAACCCTTGTCCAGTGATTGCAGATGTTCCCTGTATAAACCTGCTCACAAAATTAACAACACAGTAAATGGTTTATTCAAAGAACATTTCTACATTTATATATGTATATGAGAGGGATGGATGATAATACATAATATTAGTATTACCAACGTCGTTTGGAAAGGCCGTGAAGGCCGAGCTTGTTGGCAACCTCAGCTACAGGCAAAGCGCTTCTCGAGTCTTGCTTGTTTGCTAAAATCAGTACACATGCATGCTCCAGCTCCTTCTGCGCACAAAGAATAGTGAGTGAAAGAGATGGGAGTGTCCATATAGGGTTGAGCATGGATTCGATACCCGAGATTTTTTTATTCGAAAGCCGGGTACTTTGAGATTATTTTTTAGTATCCGTATACCTGAACCCGAACTCCGTATACAAAAATTAGATTTTTTCTTTCTTTCAAAAATCAGATACCCGTATTTTTCGAGTTATCCGAATCAAAACCAAAAACTTCTCGATATTTCATTTCAAAATCATAGGTTTGCATGAAATGTATTTGAATCTAGAGGCAAAAAGGTTGTTCTACTATTCATTTGGACACTTGTAATATCTATCTCAGACCCAATTACCCGAATCCAAACCCATTTTTCGGATTTTTCTCATGACCAAACCCAATCCCATCTCATATCATGGTGCAGTACCCCAAATTTCGAATACCCGACCTGTGGATAGGGGTCAGGTACTCAAAATTCGTGTTTTTTCCCTCAAGCCTTAAAGGCATAGATGCACAAGGAAATATATGATTCTGAATGTTTCGGATTCGCATTATAACGAATCGCAACAGATTGTAAAGACTTACATCGCTTAGAACGCGATGAAGCTCATTACGAGCTTCTGGTATCCTTCCCCTGTCGGTACTGTCCACCACAAAGATGAGTCCTTGCGCATTCTGGAAATAGTGTCTCCACAGGTTGCGGATCTGTTGAATATGAGCATGGACAGAAGGAACAACCATGGCATGTTTTACTGGTACTTTTCACAAAGAGATCAAAAGCAAAAAAAAAAAAAGAGAAAAACTGTAATATTAGTTCATGTCTGTGCTTTAATGGAATCAATCACGCCCCTTTGTACACTTTCAGGTATGAGAAATGACTGGAGGAAGAAACCAATATCGAAATTGCATACGCATACCTTCTCTTGTCCTCCTATATCCCATACAGTGAAATTGATGCCTTTGTACTCCACCGTCTCGAAGTTGAACCCTGGAATATGACGAACGAACTGAGTAACCGCTGAAAATGTTAGCCCGATGATCTTGATTCAGAGGCAACATCAAACTATCAAAGGGATTATGATATGTTCAAAACTCTTCAAAACAAATTTTGTAAGATTATGTTAAACAGATCAATCTATCATAATCAAAATTTGTTTATCTCACTTTATAATCAATCATCAGACAAAACAATATTTGAATTACATACCAATAGTAGGCACAGTCGTCACAACGTCTCCGAGCTTCAACTTGTACAGTATGGTCGTCTTCCCTGAACCATCAAGACCCACCATCAAAATCCTAAATTTACACTTCGGAAGAAACCTTTTCGCTATACGTGAAAATCTCGCCCCCATCCCTGAAGCAATCTCCCAAGTTTATTAAACCAAAAGCAAGCCAAGGTATCACGAAACAAACACTGCTTTAGGAATTAAACCCTGATATGTCCATCCATAACGAAGTAATGAGCTGAAATATATGGGATCTGTGAAAATATCATAAACACGTGAAAAATATTGCAAGTTAGATATTCCAGCAAGTAAAGCAACAAAGGCAATGTATTACTGAAAAGGCTGGAAAGAATAAATTCTCAAAAGAGTAAAGGATGGATACCGGCCTGCCTTTTCCGAGATCACCATATCTGAACCATCAAAATAGTTACACACAATGAAGGAGACAGGAAAGATTCTGTATTCTGCTCGTTATGGAAGCATCTTAGAATCTTATTCTCAACCTTTCTAGATCTTCCTATAACTGAGTACAGTACCAGCATTTCGGAACACGGTAATTAAAGAGATTGTGAACATGAGATATAAAATGTGGAGTTGCATAAGCTTTTCAGAGGGTCGTGAGAAGAGGAATCCAAATACATATAACATAAACACATATACACATGAATATATCATTCTGATAAAATTGAAAAGGATTTGCATACTCGTGAATATGAATTTCTTGACATTTACTGATGATGAAAAGCCTACAAATAGCAGAAAAATGTTGATACAAGGATGCTTAGTCGCAGAATCATAAACAACAGAGGGGCTTATTAGTTTTTAGAACCAGATTGGAAAATGAACACGGCAGTTAGAATGCCGATCAATCCCGTGAGTGCCAAGGCCACAGTCGGCAAAGGGGACACCACCCCGAAATTCTGAAAGGAGAAAACCAAAACACAATCAGGATTTCCCTTCTCTACATTCCTCTCTTTCCTTTTTCTTTGATGTACTTCTTATGAAAACTATTGACCAAGATTCGATATGATTGATCAAAGCAGAGTCTAATGTACCTCTAGGAGTCCCTTGCCAGTGGCAATTTCAACAGTAATAGCGACAGCAAAGCCAACCATGGCAGTGCGTCCAAGCCACACATCCAAACTGTTGCCGCCCTCAGTGCTTTGCTCACACCTTATCGAAAAGGATGCTGCTCCATTTCGGCGTTTTCCTCCGCCAAGAATTCTCAGATTTACCGGCACTGAAACAAACAGGGAAAACCCGAAAAACAGGCGAAGATTCTCACAAATTTACCCATTCTACCACCATAACCATAGCTTTTTCATAAAGCATATGGGCAGGGAATTTCTAAAAGCAAGGAACCCAGAAACTAAACGTTTTTTTTTCCAAATTTCAGAGAAAAATCCAGCCCACGTTAGTTCAGGAGCAAAAACCAATTGAACGAATCAGATGCCCAAGATTCAGTCAATTAAGATATCCACACACCCTAATTCCGTATCGAATTCAGAAACACAAGCATAATTTCAGGAAATGGAGAAGAAGTTTCCGGCTAAAGAAAACGTACAGAGAGGAGAACCAGAAGCGAAGGTGGAGCGGATTCCTCCAAGCCCTGGAGCATGAACCCGGAAACTAGGGTTCGTCGTTCTGGTGATGCTCATCGCCTCATAATCTGAAAACGACAGTCCCAAACAAGTTATACACATATACATAAACAATACGCACACATATACATATGACACAAACAATAGAGAGAGAGAGTACTGTGGATGGAGAAGGAGAGAGAGGCAGAGACTTGAGCTAAGGCCATGTTTTACGAGTGGATTGGAGACGGAAGAAATCGCCGGTGAGTGACTGGCGCCATTCTTTCTTTTTATTCTCGCTGAACGGAGGATTATCTGTTCGAGAGGATGACACGTGTCTCCACTCTATTCATTGAGTTGGTGTCTGGGCCTTCACTCTTTGAAGCCCACATTTGGTGTCTGGGCTTATTTATTTGAGATTTCAATTAATGCTCACTAAAATTTATATTTTGAAAAATTAGTCTACCAAAATCTTTATTTTACAGAAATTGACCTATTATCTCTCAATCGTTTCGGTTTGGGTTTTGTTCAATTATGTTCCCTTAATTTGGGTTTGTTATTTTTTATTTTATAAAAATTATAATCACCCGATTTCATATTAAATTCGGATAGATTTTATTTCAGTTTGAATTTGACTTTTTTTTTTAATCAGATTTGAATTCGGTTTTTCGATTTAAATTAAATCGTTACCATTCGATTTATATAGTTAATTCAATTTAATTATAGTTATATATTATTTGGTTTATATCGGTTAGATTATTTTATTACTAACCAAAATTATCACCCTGAACAAATACCACACGAGAAAAAGTCTTGAAACATGGCTCAATATTCCAAAAAGCAACACTTTATTTTGAAAGAGAAAATCAAAAGGGTAAAACATGAATCACTCCAAAAGCAGCTTTATTCGCATTCGTTCCTCTCAACACAACAAAAGCACTCGCTCACAGAACATTACCAAAACTTGTGAAGACTTTTGAAGCAAGAACAAAAGAGCTTATAGCTTGAGGAAGACGAATTCCTCGACCGCCGGGATTTCGCCGATCTTCTTCAGAGTCTCCTTGCTCGGCTGCTCGTCCACCCCGATCGCCATCACGGCCTGTTTCCTCGGGGCGATTCTCCCCACGCTCATGAAGCTCACGTTCACATTCGCCTCCCCGAGGACTCTCCCGACCGTCCCGATCATGCCCGGCTGATCCACTTGCCTGCAGAGTATGATACTACCTTCCAAGCTCACGTCCACCTCGAAAGATCCGACCTTTGTCAGGTGCGGGATTCCGTCTTTCACCCTTCCCTCCACTCTGATCTCCCCTGAATCCGATAACGCGCTCGCGAATTTCGACTCCACGTTCCCAAGCTGAACCGTGATGGCCTCGAGGGGGTTCTCTGGCAACCCGTCCAAGAGGACTCGCTCCTCCGAGATTCTTAGGCCTCTCTGCTTGGCGGTGTAGTCGGCGTTGACAAGGTTGATGTACACGTCGGAGATCGGCTCGACGATTCCCTTTGTGATCATTGCTCGGAGAAGCCTCGTGTCGAGATCGTCGGTGGCTCGTGCCGAGGCGTAGGTTACTTTCACGCTCTTTACACCGCTTCCCCCAGCTACTAGTTGCACCGCCAGTCTTCCTAGTTTCTCGGCCAGTATGACATATGGCTTCAGCTCGGTGAGAACCTGATCTCGATGTTTCGAGCAATAAACAGAAAATAACGTAAACGTTAACTTTTCTTTCACGAAATAAACATTCGTTCTCCATCGATAAGGCGGTGAAATTCTAAGTGTTTACCTCAGCAGGAACCATCGGTGCATTGACAGCAGTAGCAGCGAGTTCTCCCTTCAAAGCTCCGACTACAGCTTCCGCGATTTCGATAGCAACTCCTTCCTGTCGACCCGAATTCTCAGTTCAATAACACGTCAAGGAAAAGCGAGAAAATGTAAATTCATCAAGGGAATTGCAGCCATGGATGCGGCTTTCTAACCTGGGCCTCGATTGTACTGGCTCCGAGATGAGGTGTAACGGTTACCCTCTCGTGATGAACCAACTTGCTGTCTTGAGGCGGTGGCTCTTTCGCGAACACGTCAAGAGCGGCCTGAGCGACAATCCCAGAATCCAGAGCTCTTACGAGAGCATCTTCATCGATGACACCTCCTCGAGCGACATTTACGATACGAACCCCTTTCTTCATCTTGGCAAAGGTTTCGTCATTGAGCATCTTCGATGTAGCGGGAGTAAGAGGCATGTGCAATGAGATGAAATCCGCGGTGGAAATGGCTTCGTCGAAGCTAACTAGCTCCACGCCCAGGGCTCGTGCTCGGTCCGCAGGGGCGTATGGATCATGAGAAATGACGTGCATACCGAGTCCCTTTGCCCGTCGAGCAACTTCTGATCCGACTTTTCCGAAACCCAACACTGCAAGTGTCTTTCCGACAAGGGAAACACCTACATACTTGTTCCTCTTCCACTCTCCTGCATTGCCAAAACATTACATCCAAAAATCAAATCACTAGGTTTCCTTCTTCTGGAATACAGATGAAAGCCCAGATTCTTAGAAGATCATATTTATTTTCGCATTCTTGCTGAGTCTCCATCAACATTTTCCTCATCTGTAAACTGTGTTACTTGCCACTTGAAACCTTAAACCCCCAAATGTCTGATAAAACCCTAACTTTGTCTAATCTATTTCATAGTTAGAACCCAATACCTAATCGCGAATAATTTACATTCAGATGAAAAACATAATCGCAGATCCAACAAACAGAATTGCTCAATAAGACAAAGAAGTGATCAAGCAGAAAAAAATTCAACTCACTTTATTCATATTCTGATTCTCCATTACTGGAAGCGAATATGAAATTTGTAATATAATAATCCCCCACAAGACATAAAGCACAGGAAATGGAAATGTTCTTGTGATTTGCATTTGTGAAATTCCAGATGCCATCAATCACTAATATCGAACAGCCAAAAATATATTCCCGAACGATTACTAAAAAGGCAAGTTATGTGAATTGAGGAAAATAAAAGAAAAGATTAATTTCAAAAATCTAACCAGCTTTGACGGAAGCATCAGCTTGAGCGACGTTCCTCGCCATGGCCGCCAAAAGCGCGATCCCGTGCTCCGCGGCAGCGATCGTGTTCGCCGTCGGCGCGTTGACGACCAAGCAACCGAACTCCGTCGCGGCGCCCAGATCCACGTTGTCGATCCCGACGCCAGCGCGTCCGACCACCTTGAGCCGTCCATGGGACGACTCGAACACCTCGCGACTGACCTTCGTACCACTCCGCACGATCAACGCGTCGCAGAGCGAGATCTTCGTGTTCAGCTCCTCGGGGGTCAAGTTATACGAGCAGTCGACATTCGCGAACTCCTCCAGGAGCTTGACCCCAGCCTCGCCGAGCTTCTCCGCCACCAGAACCGTCGGCTTCGCTCCTCCGTCTCCGGCGGAGCATGTCACTAGGACGAGCCGCCGCCGCGGGATTTCGCGCCCCGGGGTGGAAAATGCGACGGAGAAGGCCGACGGAAGGGGTGATTTCGAGGAGAGAGACGAGATCCTGACCGGCCTGACGACGGCGGCTGAGGACGTGACGGCTGCGGTAGCGGACATTTCTGCGACGGTGTAGTGGTGAGAGTGTAGGTGTATGTAGATGTCCGGTTTGATGGCTGAGTACACGGAGGGAGGGATCTAAGGTGGGGGATTTATAGTGGGCTTAGGGGTTTGGTGAATGGTGATACTGAAGAAGGCGATGCACTCACGCGCCTTCTGGGCGCGTGAGTCTCCGCAACAAGCGAAATAAAGGTGTTGCTATTACCAGATTTTTTCTTTTTTCAAATGCACTGGAGCGGACATCAAAGAACGGGAATTCAGAAGGTATTACATGTCGTGATATTAAATTTTTTATGATTTTTAATAATAGATATTACATTTTTATACTATAATTACTAAAAAAGGTACAACATTAAAACGATAATCAGAGTTTATATATATATATATATATATAGAGAGAGAGAGAGAGAGAATATCAATTAACTTAAAATTTTATAAAATCTTATACCGAAAGAGGAAAATTTCACGAGTTCATAACTAAAAAGAAAGAATCAAACTGATAAAAGAACAAAAGAATTTTTTTTATTTCTATTTAAATGTATTGGATGGATAAGACATTCAATTACATTTATTTCAACCTTTTGAAGATAACTATAACAGTACTTATCCCATCATTAGTTTTATCTTTAAAAATGCACCAAACTCGTTGGGTGAATCCAACTTGCAAACTAATATTATATATTATAAAAAAAAAGTATTTAAAAAAATATCTGTACCTAAAACACCAAAAATATAATGTTATATTTTAGATAAATTCGGAAAAACAATTACATGTAAAAAATCGAATTTTCATCCGTGGATTTTATTTTGTGTAAAATAAATAAAAATGCCAAGTCCGTCCAATTCAACTCCTAAGTTCTCGTATGCGTATGAGACCCTTTTGGAGACACGTTGAAAGCAAATTTGCCACGCGCCCACGCGCTTATACACGTGTGTGTATGTATATATATAGTAGTGCGATATGCTTAAATATATAGTATTTTTTAAAAATAAAATAAATGTTAATACGAAAACCGAAAATGTCTGCAATGATCTAACCTAAGTGAGTTATGTCCAAAATATTTTTTATAATAATAAATAGAAGATCTCAATTCCAAATTGGATTGTGTTGGACTGTAATACGACTAGTCCGATTCTCAATATATATATATTATAACAGTTGGATATATATATATATAGTTGTCGGGTGAGGGATATTTTTGACGGATATGCCCTTTGGAGTAATAATATGGCACGTGAAAGATTTGCATTTTTGTCTGCAACTGCCTAAAGGTAATATATAGTTGGTAGGTAGTAAATGTTATATTTCCTCTATTTTTTATAATTGTTTTGGTTTTAGTTTATTCTAAATTAGTTATGGATTCTTTAAAAAAAAATCGTTTTCAAAAGAATATTCGTAATTTATTTTTTTTTTTCCAATTGTTTTGGTATCTCAATTCAAATTTAGTTATGTAATTTAGATAAAGTTGTGTAGAAGCAAATCGAATATTTTATTTTATTGGATCTAAGGTTTGTTATTAGGCTCATATAACCCATCATCACATTAGGCCTATATTTATATTATTTATTTATTTATTTATTTATTTAAACTACATTAGGCCCATAAAATTTTCTTTTATCACAAATAGCCCATAACCTTATTTCATAACTAATTAGCTAACTAAATCACAATAAAATCATGATTTTTTTTCATTTTTCGTCTTAATATTAATCATAAATTTTTGGGGGAATTCAAAACGAAAAACATTAATTGGAGTGTTTTGGAAATGATTGGTTGGATTAAGACATTCAACTTAGAATTGTTTCATCCGTAAGTTTACTTCAAATATGAATAAGTCAACCAAAATAATTGACCGAATCCCAACTTGCAAACTAATCTGAGATTAAAAAACATAATCTAAAATACTAAAAATAAATCTCATATAAATAACTTAATTTTACAAAAATATGTTAAAAAAATATCTAAAATTTTAATTTGATCTAATAGATACTTTAATTATTAAAATATTTTAAATTTATCTTAAATATTAAAATATCTAAATTTATATCCAACTCACAAAATCGATATCAATTTACAACCCCAATTTGTATTTAAAATTGTAAATTATGTCAAAACTGAAAATTATTATCGATTTTGTGATTTTTGTATCAATTTAAAATATTTTAAGATTTAACATATCAATTAGATCAAATTAAAAATTTAGATATTTATATGAGATGTTTTCTACAACATAAAATTTTAGATAAATTAGAATTCTTATATATGGGACAGACAAATTTGATTATGAAATATGAATATTATGTGTAAATAAATCGAATTTAATCGGTGGCTTTGTCTTTGACCGAATTCATGGACATTTCGTGTGTGCGTATATAACATAACAAAGGAAAAGTCCCGTTTGGTATTCTCCCAAGTTCCAAATACATACACGCCGCCCCCACGCAAGTATACGTGTGTATATATACATATATATATATATGTATGTATGTATGTATATACATATATATAATTTATCGAAGAATTTATTATCTCCGAATTATTTAGTAAGTTGAAAGTTATTTTTTATGTTGTATTTAAATGTATTATTACGGAATTAATGTCTAGACATTTGTACACTAATGGGATCATAGGCCCCCATTTGTGTAATTAAAATATTTTATTTTTTTATTAATTTTATAAAATCTTAAATAAAATTGTATAACACCTTCATATATAGTAAATACCACATAATAAAATTATTGTCCCCACTTACAACTTTATAATAATTTAAAACACATCGGAAACTGAGTGTTATCTAATAATTATCTATGTGAGTATATGTCTAAAACTCAATAATAAATCGGTATAAAGAAAATATCATATAAATCCAAACTGGTTTAAATTGTTTTATAGTAAATAGAAAATCTAAATTTCAAATTGGATTGAGTTGGGCTGACATATAAGACTAGTCCAATCCTCAAGCCTCATTTTTTATATTGTACAGTTTTTTAAGTGAATTATTGGGCTTATACATGTACATGTTACATGTACATATATGTTTTGATTATCTATAATTTAAAATAAAACAATTTCAGTAATAGCCCATCACATTATAACGTTTTCTTTTGATACGAATAGTCAATAGATCATTTTTCAATAGGGCCATAACTATTTAACTAAATAAATAATATTTCAATTAGTTTTTTTTTCTTAATCCCACAGAAAATCCTAAACTTGTTAAAATGTTCCATATAAAACACTGAACTTACAATCTCCCACCAAAAACCCTGAATTTGGTAAAAACTTCTACAAAAATTATAAATCTACTATTTTCTTCCATATATTGACTTGGCAAAAAAATTTGCTAACGTGGTATGACAAATTGCTGACATGGTGCTGAATGAGTTATCATGTCAGGGCCATGTCATCATTTTAAAAATTAAAATATTTGATAAAAATATATATGTACAAACATATACATATGTAAATTTATACATTTGATTAAAATATATTTATATATATATATAAATTTATATATTTGATTAAAATATTTGTTTTAATCGGTGGCTTTGTCTTTGACCGAATTCATGGACATTTCGTGTGTGCGTATATAACATAACAAAGGAAAAGTCCCGTTTGGTATTCTCCCAAGTTCCAAATACATACACGCCGCCCCCACGCAAGTATACGTGTGTATATATACATATATATATATATGTATGTATGTATGTATATACATATATATAATTTATCGAAGAATTTATTATCTCCGAATTATTTAGTAAGTTGAAAGTTATTTTTTATGTTGTATTTAAATGTATTATTACGGAATTAATGTCTAGACATTTGTACACTAATGGGATCATAGGCCCCCATTTGTGTAATTAAAATATTTTATTTTTTTATTAATTTTATAAAATCTTAAATAAAATTGTATAACACCTTCATATATAGTAAATACCACATAATAAAATTATTGTCCCCACTTACAACTTTATAATAATTTAAAACACATCGGAAACTGAGTGTTATCTAATAATTATCTATGTGAGTATATGTCTAAAACTCAATAATAAATCGGTATAAAGAAAATATCATATAAATCCAAACTGGTTTAAATTGTTTTATAGTAAATAGAAAATCTAAATTTCAAATTGGATTGAGTTGGGCTGACATATAAGACTAGTCCAATCCTCAAGCCTCATTTTTTATATTGTACAGTTTTTTAAGTGAATTATTGGGCTTATACATGTACATGTTACATGTACATATATGTTTTGATTATCTATAATTTAAAATAAAACAATTTCAGTAATAGCCCATCACATTATAACGTTTTCTTTTGATACGAATAGTCAATAGATCATTTTTCAATAGGGCCATAACTATTTAACTAAATAAATAATATTTCAATTAGTTTTTTTTTCTTAATCCCACAGAAAATCCTAAACTTGTTAAAATGTTCCATATAAAACACTGAACTTACAATCTCCCACCAAAAACCCTGAATTTGGTAAAAACTTCTACAAAAATTATAAATCTACTATTTTCTTCCATATATTGACTTGGCAAAAAAATTTGCTAACGTGGTATGACAAATTGCTGACATGGTGCTGAATGAGTTATCATGTCAGGGCCATGTCATCATTTTAAAAATTAAAATATTTGATAAAAATATATATGTACAAACATATACATATGTAAATTTATACATTTGATTAAAATATATTTATATATATATATAAATTTATATATTTGATTAAAATATTTGTATATTTAAAATTTTAAATTATAAACTTAATATATATATACAAATATATATAGATATTTGATAAAATATATATATATATATATGTATATAGTATATGTATATATATTTGTATATTTAAAATTTTTGAATTACAAACTTAATGTATATACAAGTATATATATAAATATATATGTATATATATTTGACCAAAAATTAAAAATTTATATTTTAATTTTTAAAAATGATAACATGACATGTGACGTTTTTACCATTCAAACAAGTCAAAGGTTTTATATGGAAGAAAATGGTAAGTTTATAATTTTTGTAGAAATTTTTACCAAATTTAAGATTTTTTTGTAGAAAATTGCAAGTTGAAGGTTTTATATGGAATATTTTAACAAGTTTGAGGTTTTTTTATGGGATTAACCCGTTTTTTTTTGTCTCAATACTAAACATACCCTAATCTTCATAAAAATGAAATTCTTATTCACCTAAAATACGCTTTCCATTATAAATTACTCTCTTCGTTTCATAAACATGGACGTTTTAGATGATTTTTTATATTACAAAATAGATGTTATTCTAATATTTTTAGTCAATTTTTTATAATAATTTTTAATTTTATCCTTAATAAAAATTATTCAACTCCAATAGATTATTAATCGTAAAATTATTTTTATCATCAAAACTTAATGAATATTAATATTTTAATTATTATTATTGTTTGTTTACTTTCTTTTTTCATTTTCCCGTCAAATTTTTTCTTTTTTAATCATAGTTCTGTAATTTTTTTCAGAGATTTCTTTGTCGGGAAATATCGAACGTCATGGCTACTTATCATAACAGTCTGAAATAATTTTAAAAAATTAATTATAAATATATTTTAAAATAAAAAACGTTAATGCAAATATCATAGTAGTGTGGAAAAGAATAGAATATGAGGGAAAATTTTGTCACTCGAACCACACAAGTAAAAAAGGTTGGCTACCCAGTGACGGAGCCGAAGCCTAAAACTCGTGGAAATGCGATCACTACTCTCGCCGGCGGCGAGCTCCGGCGTATCCGCGGCGGCGATGCGGCCGGTTTCATCGCACGTACTCCGCTGCAAATGCCCCTTTTCTCGCCTCCCGTTCTCGTATAATCCGCTCGCTTCTGCTCCGAATCCGCTCAAGTGCAGCTCCGCTGCTTTCTCCTTTTCTTCCCGATCGCCGCCATCTCCGCCGTTCTATGGGTTCCAAATCCGAGGCCTGAAACCTAATTTCGTGGCGGCGTCTTCATCTCCGGTGTCTCCTGCTTCCCCTGCCGCCGCTGATACTGAGGTCGACAAGGCAAAGCTCGCTCAGGTTCTCTTCTTTATCCTTAATTTAAGGCTAATTTCGGTTAACGGTGGCTGAATTGGAAGTGAAATGTGGCCATATCAATCATCTGGGAAAGGGATAATCTTGGGAATTGGATAAATAACCTTGGAGGATGATAGTTTCAGGAGTGAGGATATAGAGGACGAGGTTTCGCTGTGATTTTCTGGGTTTTATGTTTGAATTTACAATTTCTTCGAAGCTTCTGATTTGAGGAAATGGGTAGCAATTTGGTTCTACTGATAGGTTCATAGGGACAACTGAGATTCTAGGGTTTGAAGAATCTGTTTGGGTGATTGAATAGTTTTAGATGATTACAATGCTAGTGACTGGTAAAGATATCGAATCACTGACCCAAAACAGGTGAAACACCATAATTCCTTGTAGAAAATTGTCAGAAGAGAGTTGATTATTTCTTGGTATGAGTATGGTTTCACAGGTTACAAAGAGATTGGAGAAGACATCAAGGTACTTCAAGAGGCTGGGGAGTTTCGGTTTCTGGGGGCAGATAGTGTGCACCGTCGTGGCGGCCGTGATTCTATCCTTCTCCGTCGTCGTCACGGGAAAACCCACTTCCCCCGCTACCTTCTACGCTACCGCCGGTGGGATCGCAGCTGCATTTGTCTCGGTGTTTTGGTCCTTTGGGTATATCCGGCTCTCGGAGAGGCTCCGTAAAACTGCCACGGACCCTTCCAAGGTGAGTGCCGTCGGTGCATTTAATTTCTCCCGCAGTTTAGTTCAGCAATACGCTGTCTAGTAAATCAGTTAGAGATGCCCACGTTCAAATTTTATCTGGTCAGGTAAGAATACTGGTAGAAGCGGCAGGTGATGTATCAATTTGATTGAAGTGGTTACACTTAATAAATGCTGCAGGGTTTTTTTTTTTATCTTGGAAGACTGGTATTCATGTAACTATGCATTCTTTATATTCTTGCCATTAGATCAGATCCATCTTGGTCAACTGCATTAGTTACTGTTTTACTGTACTCGATCATGACAGAATACCTATCTGGTTGATGAATGATGTTTCAGGCGCCGCCACGAGCTGAGGTGGTGAGAGGATTGAAAAGCGGGATAGTGGTGAATCTAATGGGGATGGGTGCGGCGATCCTGGGGATGCAAGCCACCGTCGGATTCTTAGTTGCGAAAGCCCTAACAACCTCTGCCACCCCTTTCTATCAGGGAGTCTCCCCCGGCTACAGCCCCGTTCTCGCTCTTGATGTCTTCCTCGTCCAGGTACCATCTCTATCTTCTCTCTGTATTCAGCTTGTCAAATTCTCGGACATTTTCTTGGGGGCTTCACTGAGTAGGACTTGGCACGGTTCGGATACTCGACCCCGAACCCATGCCTTGCGGGTTCCAAGGTTTGGAACCCTGTCTCCATATCCATGTCGGTCGGGTACCTGCGGGATATCTCTCAAATGCTCGAGGACCCGAAGGTTACTTGGTTGGTTATGGGGCAAGGTAAGGAGCACGAGAATAGTGATTGAAAAAGGAGGTGAAGAGGGTGAGGAACGAGAGAGAAAAGACATGCGAGAGCGAGTGACGAGCCGTGAGCAACGAACCTCACATTTTTTTTTGGTTTTTAACAAAATGAAATCTCTAAAAACCCTAGACGGCCATCACCTCACCCCCCAGCGTGTTGCCCTCTCAGCTCGGATTTTTGATACAGATTCTCACTTGGGTCAACACCCGAATTCGAATCCAAAGATCGAATTCTCACCATCCTTGGACCCGTATTCATCAATCAGTAGACGAATACCTGATTTTTGGATACTCAATTCACGGGTCAGATCGAAAACTTAGCCTAACATCATTGTTTGTGATTCTGTTCTGCATCTCCGTCACTCTAAACATTTCCAAGTATACTTAGAAAAATTGTGTCCATCGGCCTGCTAATGTTAGATATATACTAATATTTGACACTTGAGACGAACTTTTTGCAGGCATCAGCCAATACCATACTGTCTCATTTCCTCGGCCTCGTCTGCTCGTTGGAGCTGTTGCGTTCGGTAACTCTTCCGGCTTCCGAACCTGCTGCCGCCATTCCCAAGATTGCATAAGTTTCACCCTTTTCTTTTTGTTTTTTGGTTTGTTAATCATCACCTTCATGTATTCATAAATCACCAAACGAACAATGACAAGGATGTTCCTTCGTTTTCTCGGCTGCAGTCAGCTGTGGACTTGAATGATAAAATGTTTATGGACTTTGTCCTGAGAGAGTTAAACCCTCCGTCTTCATCCGCTGCCAAAAAATCTTTAACACAGAATGAATCAGCCCAAGGTTTTTTTTCATTCAAAAGCAAAACCCCTTTTACAAAAACAAAGTACGTATAATGAAAGCTTCGTATCAAGGGTACATATATGTGTTGTGCCACACGATGAAGAGCTCGGATCCTGTGCTCTGTTTCCTGTTGTTTTTCATATCTCGCAATCCCTACACTATCTCTCAATCGTTTCGGTTTGGGTTTTGTTCAATTATGTTCCCTTAATTTGGGTTTGTTATTTTTTATTTTATAAAAATTATAATCACCCGATTTCATATTAATACACGTAGCTCAAACCCGATTCCATGGATTCTTGTCCTCCTCCGTTCCAGAGATCAGTTGGCACTGGCGAAGGGATGAACATGGTGTTAAGAGGCTTTATAAAGTTGAGAAAAAATGGGAGGTAATAGTTATGATATGACACTTTCAAAGAGCCAAATACGCTACTAGGCACTACAGATCATATGACAATTCCTTTTACTTGTTACTAGGAAGATCAGCCTACACATCTATCAAAACAGAGCAAACTAAGCATCAGTGATGTCTCATAACCATCTGCGTACAGCCACTTAGCACGGGAATGACAATGTGATTAATCCAACAGCAAATTGTGCAAGAGACTTAGCTCGAAAGGGGTTCGATATACTTGCCTTGCCTACTGCATCTTCTTTTCCTTTGCCGCGACCCTACTACCAATCTTCTGTAGTAAAGTTTCGTCGATCTTTCTATACTGTGTTTGAAGAACTCGATGTGTTACGGACAGTTTATCATCGATGTTGTCCTGGTATCTCTCGTACAACACAGGGACCGACAGACTGAGTATAGCACCTGCCAATTGAAAACAATATGAAGGCAAGTAAAGAACTCCAAAAAAGACGCCAGTTTGTTTTTTTTGGAGAATCTTTTTTAGGAACAATCAACAATACAAGGGGTAGAAGCAGGAGAAGTACTCACCCAGATAGAGTAGTGTGAGGAAGTTGAAGAAATAGCCGAGCAAGGATACCATCCACAAGACAAAGCTGACCTGAAGTAGTACTCCATGTTATGTTTCATGATGGTTCTAAATGCCATAGCCCTACTAGCTTTCTTAGAATCAACTCAAGTAGAAAACACAAACCACCTGGACAATTTCTGACCTGAAAGAGACTCTTCACGTTTCTGCCTACTGCTATATCGTGAGCAACTGATAATGCACGATTAAGCCAGACTTGTAGAGCATCAGAAACCTTGAGAGCAGATGCCTCAGAGATTTCCAGGCTAGGAAGTGGAGGCATAGGTCTGAAGGTAGAAAAAAAGGAGACTTTAAATTTACATCAAGTAGTGGTACTGCAAGTATTTCTATTCGCGCGGAATCCGTTAAACTCCCTGTCCTTCAACTGTTTGTATAACGGAAATAACCGTAATATGATCTTCTTCACCCCGAAAGAAAAGACTTTATATCACCCCCTTTACCCTTTTCCTCCATTTTGGTTCCTATTCAAACTCATGAATTTACACAAGAATCCATCTATTTGTTGGCAAAATTCATGGACTTTTACTTTTAGACAGTATACCAATGGATGACCCAGTTCAAACGCAGGTAAAGGTTGGTTAAACAGCTACTGATTCCACAAATCAATCAACCCCATTACAAACCCACAAGTAACAGATAAATTTGATGATTTCCATTCACAAGAAAGAAACAGAACATGAAAATGAAAGACTAGCAACCCAAGATTGGCCAAAACGATTAGGACCCCCAACTATCATCCACAAACATTTTAAGCTATATGTAAAAGGATCCATGAACAACCGCAAATGAACAATAGAGTTACCTATTGAGAAGAGAAGCAGATTTCGCCCAGAGGAAGAGTATTACGACGAAGAGAAGCTGAACATTTGCCACAAAGGACAAGAAATTATATCCAGCTTTCTCAAAGAGGAACCAGAACAGTGTCGCTGATCCAAGCAGAAGAACCGCTCCTCGCCGATTCCTCCATAGCAGCAAATCCGCAACTGCAGAAACAAACAAAAACGAAAATTCGCATAAACATCCTATCAGAACACGGAAGAACCAACGAGTCGACGAATGATCGGCGCGATTCAAGCAGAGATCTATCTGCTACTGAAGCCGCGCACATGTGAATCGATACAACAAAAACAACACACCGTAGACGCATGCGTAAATACAATGATGCACGAACGTGTATGTGCTCATGTATACATGACGACACGAGGAATCGTATGAAGATTGAAACGAGAGAGAGACAGACAGAGAGAGAGAGAGAGAAGACCTGAGCCATCACCAAGGGCTTGATGAACAGAAATGCGAGAATGAGGGTGAGATTCTCCCATGGAGAGCTAGGGTTTCGAAGCAGGAAGTGAACAAAGGAGAAGAGCTGCAACGACCTCTCCAATGCCGGGCGTTATTTTATTTTTCTTCGGTATTTTTTTTAGAAAAGAGCAGATGATGTGTTGGCACACTGTCTCAGTTTTTTTTTTCCTTTTCAAAAGGAAAAGTGACTTTTTCGTTTTCTTTAAAAATCTGATTAAATTTTAATTTCGCAAATCGAAGGTGAAAGTTAGCTGTCTTTTTCGCTTGCTGTTGGGATAGTGGTTTCGGTTGGTTTAATATAAATCCAAATCCAACAAAATAATAATAAATGTATTTAAGCTAAATTAAATTAAATTAAATTTCCCAAATAGCTCATAAAAACGAAAAATAAAATAAACGACATGTATTTCCATCAATCCATTGATTATAAGGACAGTAAAATTGAAAATTAAAATATATATATAAAAAATAAACATAGTAGATGACTAAAAGCTCTTCTTGAGTCATTTTCCTGTGGCAAGAAATTTTAGTTACAAGTCAAAACAGGAACCCAGAAAGAGCAAACACAAATCAAATATGTAACCTAAAACCTATTTTTTTCTTACGAACAAGCAAGAGAAGTTAAAAAACATGGCATCTTCCTCCTGCTCTCAAATCCATAACAACAATGGCACCTTAACTCTATTGAGCCGCCGCCATTTCCTCCATCGTGGTGGAAAGCAAACGGATCAAAACCCGTTTACCCATATCCGATCCCGAGCTTTCCAAGAGAATTCTAGGTTTGTGTCAAAACAAATGGCTATGAACTCCTCTATCATACCCGGATTAACGATCTCAGAAAGGAAGCTTCCATTGGAGTATGGATATGTGGAATTGAGTTTTGCTCATTCTACGGTTCCATCCTCGTCTCCCGAGTCTTCTTCCTTGTCGTCGGAGGAAACATCTTCCTTGGGCTGTCGTTGTTCTCCTCCTTCAGAGTTTGGTTTAGTCTTCTTCTCCTTCTTTCTCTGCTTTTTCTTTTGGCGTTTTAAACGCTTCTTCGCTGTCTTTTCCTCTGCGGTTTTCAGTTTCTCTTCCCTTCTTATATTGAATTCTGCAAACTCTTTCCGCTTCTGGTAGTCAGCATCCATCCTCGCAAGCCGGTCTTGCTCCCTTCGTCTCATTTGCCGGTACTGTCACGGAAAGCATTGCATCACAATAAGAGAAGCTGATTATATAGGGTAATAAACGGAGAATCACTAGGATCACTCCATTTAGTAGGTCATGATATGAACAGATAATTTCATACAAATATCATAAGAAGAACACTAGCAGATATCTATATAATAGAAGCAATACGTATGTATGCCAAATATCAGAAAACCTTTCGAAAAAAACCATGGGGGAACTCGATTTACTAGGACTTAATCAGTAAATCATTCGGCCATGTAATCAGTACACATACACAACACCGAACACCAATTACTCTTGGCATGAAAATCCACCCAATCCAAGAATGCTGAAAAGATCCTTATCAACCCTAACTTAGTCCAAGCTCAACAACAAGGCAGGACAAGTGACAACATTGTGTAAGCAGATAACATCAGGACCAAGCCACAGATCCAATGTCCAGAAATCCAAAGGATCAAAAGTAAAAAAACAATACAAACGTGATTCAAGACAAAAAATTTCTTCTTCAGTCGATAATGTAATAGCTCAGGAACCACACCTAGTCACACCATATATGATAGGAGTAAATGACTACAATTCCAGAAGGAAAATACAATGTTGCCAAAATCATGGCCCAAGTTCTCAGACACTGAAGAACGGACTGCCCATTCTACAGCTTTATGATCCTCCAACTAAACTCGTACCACACATCAAATTCAAATTCTTCTTGCAAATAACGAGTCCGGAATTCAAAATGAATCCTTTTGACCTACCTCTAGATACAAATTATAGAAACCCTAATCAACAAGCAGATCAGATATTGCGATCAGATACGAATTGACGAACTGATTTACCTGGTGGAAATCTCCGGAGCCAGAACCAGCGGAACTTCCGGAGGTGTTACTGACGCGAACGGGAACGTTCTCGAGGATTCTCCGGAGCTTAACCTCCAGATCCTCCTCCTCCTGCTGCAACACCGGCGGAGTATACTCAACGATCGCCGTCGATCCTCCATTCGCCGTCGCCACTGCCAACGCCTTCTGCGTTTCTTTCGATGCCGCCGCCGTGGTAGCAGCCACCACCAATCGGGTCTCGCGTTGCTTTGGCTTCCCCGTCGACATCGCGCTCTGAACGACAAACCCTAATCGAGTGGGTTTTTTACTCAAATGCCCTAGTTCGCAACTATTTCAGGAGTACACTACAAAAAAAACATAACACATTAATTTTGTTTGAAAAGACAAAATTACCCTTAATGAATACACGATTTTTATCCGTTCAAAAACAACTTCGTTATTACGACTTTGTAATTAATTCTAAATATAGTTACAATTGATTCTAAAGAAGGTGGCAAAAAAATTATCTCTTATTTTAGTGGTATATCAGTTATATATGTTAGTCATAATAACGTCGCAAAAAATAAAAAGAAAAGGGTATTTCAGACTTTTTCAACTGAAAAGTGGGTTAAAATTGAAAAAAAAAATTTGTTTTTTTTTCGGTGGTGTACACAGAAAAGATCCAAGTGAGTCATTCGAGGCGACACCATCTAGGGACTCATCATCCGATTCCCAGCAAAACATATATTTACTAATTGCCTCCAAAGTGTTCATAAATTATAAATATTTCCCATACTATTCATACATTACAAATCTGCCCCCACATTTGTTTTTCTTTCGTCATATTTCTTTAGCACGACAGATTCGCACTTGTGGGATTCTTTGAACCATTGTCTCATAGAGTATTATTTCAAGCATTTTTATATATAAAAAAAAACCCCATGATTTTCAAGAAAAATAAAAAATCAACAATCAAACATTAATTGCTTCTTTATAATGATTCCCTAAAATCTAACGATGAAAATTCGTTCCGATCCGCCAATTAATCATTATATAAAATTAGTAACTTATGCACATAAATCTTAGAGAAACAAAGTCGAAATATTGATTTATTTAATTTAATCGTGTTCGAATTCATTTGTTTTTTTTAGGTTTATATTCTATTCATATTTATTTATTTTTGTTAAATCAGAATTTATTTTTGTTTCAATTGAATATTCGGTTTTACAAGTGCACATCATACAATTTCGGTTGAACTACTTTTTTATTATTACTATTGTGATTTAACGTTTTTGCACCATTTGAGAACAAACGAATAATACGACGAATAGGACAAACACGTGGAAAATCCCTACTCACTTAATTCACCACGTGGACAACGTGATAAAATTAACCAATATATATATGTACAAATCAACGCGCTTTAAAAAAAAGGCATCTCTTTATTTAAATACTCTTTTTATTTTTTTCACGAGTTCAATGTTCGTTATTTGTTTCATCTTCTCGAATTTAGAAATGACAGTTCCCTTTCATTGTGCTTCCACTTCTCACTTCATATGGAATGGAGCATTTTAAAGTTTAAACCGAAAGAGAGAGAGATGTACGTTTTTTACATTATTTTTTCTCTATAGAATGTTTTTTTTTATTTATAAAGATATAGAACGTTTTCTTATACGAGAGAAAAGAAAATGTTTTTGCATCAAAAACAAGATGTATGTTCGTAGTACTTTTATTTTTATTATGTTTTATGTTAGCTATAATATGTTAAAATTTTAAATAATAATTGTATTTTCATTTGAATAATATTATAGACTTATGTTTAATAAATAATATAAATTTCGGTTTTAGATTTGAATAATATTATAGAATTATGTTTTACGTTACCAAATTCATAATGTATTTTTGTCGTTATATGGTCAAACCTAAAGGAAAACTATATAGAATGATTCTACTTAAATGAAATAGTTTAAAACAATTGACCAATTGTAACATTAAATAAATTAAAAATCCGAGTAAAATAGAATATTGGTAGAAATGTTTTTCTATTACATATGTGTTTGATATGTCACATGTCTTTATGAAAGTGGATTTCCATCGATGTCACTTATACCGAACATTCCAAATTAGGAAGATTCTTTTGGATTCGATTTCATTATATTTGGATTTGTTTTGTTCGATTTTGTAAAAATTGAAAATAAATAAAAACTAAATTGCATTTGATTCAATTGAATGTATTATTTTATTCATGCTTGATATGTTTTTATTGGATTTTATGTGTTTTACCTCATTTCAAATCAAATCGAATTTGAGGAATTTTTCTATGATAAGAAATATGGAAGAATCTAATGTTCGAAGTTTTGAATATCTATTGTTTATTAGTAAACCCATCAATATCAAAATGTAAAAAAAATATATATATACGAGAAAGAAAAACATAGAAATCAATGCGTCGTTATATAGTGGTTTTGCAGTTTATGATGCTGCAAAATGCATTATAAAAATACGGTTTTTGAAAAAGAAAATAATAATAATAAAAAGAGCACGTGCTGAAATTTCCATTCAATGTATAAACGAGTGGGTCCACCAACTTCTGTGTGATCTCCGAGCTAAGGTGGGCCCACAACGTTGTCGTTTCTGAGTTTCGTTCGTTTACATCCTATGTGTGTTTTGTCGTTTGAGTTTGACACGTCACTGCATAATGGTTGAAAGTTGATGGAAAATTTTAAATGGTCCAAATTAAAAATGTTGGATTGAATGTGAATTTTTCGAAGGATATAAGGTTTTTTTTTAGTTTTAGTTGGAATTACAAAATTTAAGATATCAGTATTTCAAATAAAATCCATTGATCCACGTGTCAACTCGGGAAAGCAGGATAACCAATGTAGTTAAATTAAAATATTTGTAAAAACAATTATATGTTTTACATAAAAAAGTGAATTATAGAATAGAAATGATTTTTGAAGTTAGGGAGCACGTGCAATTACATAGGTAGTGCAATTAATTGATATATACGTTAGGGAGGGCCCACCACAAGCATAGATTCTTCCCCTAATGTGTTATGCGGAAGTCTCCTATATTTTTTATTCTTTTGGATTCTTAAAAAAACAAGGAGAAAATGTTCGATAGTTATTTTTTTAAAGAATAATTTGTAGAGATTTAGAGAAATGATAATGAGCGATATAAAAAATATGAGATGCTTTTTAAAAAAACTTATAATATATGATTAATATGCATTTCTCGCATTGTGGTATCATTCTTTTGGATTCTTCATACTCTATAATTCTTGTATTTGCCCTTTTCCAAATTACAGTAACACAATTCACTGTTTGTTAGGCTGTTCGGACTATGGGTCTAAGTTATAATATATACTCTATAATAATAGTTATTAAATAGTTTTATAATAAATATTTTTATAGAAAAAAAAATACTAATCTAAGAGTAAATATTTTTTTGGGGGGTAAAACTATACAAAGATTTCAATTGATCATTTAAATTAATTTCATCCTATCTGAGATTCAATCTGATCTTTTCGAAATATTTTACGACTATTATTACTCAAGTGTCACTCTTTATGAAATTCCATATATAGTTGATGTATCATATGGTTTGATGAAGATTATAAATCGTGATGATATATTTATCGTTTACAAGTGTGCATATTATTTACATTAAAAAAAGGTGTGCATATTCTTATTTCGAAAATTTATTTTTTCAAATTATCTCGAAAATAGTTAGGGATATTGTGGCGAATTAGATCAATGAGCCTACGAGGTGTTTCACAAGTTGGATTTTTTTTTTTTAAAAATTAATATTTTATATTTACATCGTGGTTTAATAGCTATTTGTCTTGTTTTATTTAAATTTTCAAATTTTTTTATTTTTAAAATATTTAAATTTTCAAATTTTTTTAATTAGATATTTTATTCTTAAGTTAACTGGTCTAACTTATGATCTCAGATGAATCGGATTGAATCAAATAATTTTTTATTTACCAAAAAATGGGTTTAACTAGGTTAGGATAAAAGAATCTGAGATCGAAACGGTCCCATTTTACATCCTTGAAAACAATATTTTTGAAGAGTATTAGGGAGAGAATATTTGGTATCTTTTATATAATATAATATATATTCACCGATAACATCAGAAATATCGGTATATATCTCTCATATATCTTATATGTATATGTTGGTTTATATATTTTTTTATTAAAAATAAAGTTATTCAAACGAATTTTATCTTGAAGGCAGTGTGACAAAGAAGACGAATACGAAGAGAAATTCGAAACCAACATTAACAAAGGGAATACAACAATAATATTGAAGAGAAAACATTAATTGCTACAGCCTACAGGTATATGAAAATATACTATACAAATACTGAGACAAATATAAGAAACAAATAGAATTTTTTTTTTATGATACATTTGTCAATTTTTATTATTTTTTTTTTATAAGTTCAGATTTTTCTAATACAGGGTTTATTATATCTTATTTATCAAATTTAATCAAGAGATTATTTGCTAATCCAAATCCTATGGATGGTAATACTATCAAATATTGCAAACCCTAAAGTATTTCCGGACGATTTTTTAAATCTGTCAGTTATGCCAAAGTTGGTGATTTTTATTTTATTTTCCTTGAAAGTGTGGCGAAAGTTTGTTCTATAATATGTTTTGTTGCCTATTTTGATATTGTACTAGAGATGGCACTGTGCCTTTTCCGGACACAAAACAAGAATCATACTATATCCTGACTATATACATATAGCAACAATTAAAAAAAATAACAATATTAGAAAAAATTATATATAAATCCAACAAATTAAAATCTTCCATAGAAAACATATGGAAAACACATTATGATGCATTAGTGTTTTCTAATTTCAATTTTTTTTTTTTTACAAAAATATAACGTATGTAATATAATATCAAATATGAAAGATACACTCAATAACTAAGAAAACGCATTTGCTATATAGATTAAAAAAAATTATTTATTTACTTCTCACGTTTCTCAAACATGGTAACAAACAATGAATTTGACCATATCTTCGTATAAGATTTAGGTTAAATGGAAAAGAAAAAGAGTTATTTACCAAAAAGAGTTTCTGGACTCTTATAAAAAAAAAAAGAGTTTCTGGACTGAAAAAGGGGAAAAAAAAAGAAAGTCGAAACAATCCCGGTTTAAATGTTGGTACAATAAACCGGTTATGATCCGGTTTACAATTTGGTGACGTCAGTCTCCTAGGGATGCCCTATCCACAGTGGCCTTGGACAGTCAGCTTGTCAGTCATCACCCATTCATCCCTTTCTTCTTACACGCTCCCAGACCGGTTTTTGTCGTTTTATCCACGTCATCGAACCACCAAAATTTGAAAAACTAGTTTTTAATAAAATAAATAATAAATAAATTTCCCCGAGAAGTATCTTCTCAGATCCTCAAAATCTCGCGATATTTTCGCCTGGTTTCGAAAACTCCCTTATCTCCCCCCTTCCGTTTCCCTCTGTAACTTCCATAACTGTTATGAGTCAAATCAGGAAACTAACCACTAATATTGCATACGAAATGACTAAAATGGCCCTACAATATATTCAAAAACCACACGCGGCGTTAGACGTTATACAGCTGTCAAAAAACCCCTAGAAACCGGTAACCTGAAGTTACCGGTTACGCGGTTACCGTTCAAAACGTTGTAGACCCCACCCGTTAACCGGCTCTATCCGTTACCCTATCCCATTCACCTTTAAAAACCCCGTTTCCTCTTCATCTTCCTCAAGCCCCTTTCTCATAAAAACATAAATCAAAGAACGGTTTCGATGGCGGATCAGAAGAATTTGGATCGGGTGAAGGGTCCATGGAGTCCAGAGGAGGATCAGCTTCTGCGGCGGTTGGTGCAGCAGCACGGCGCGAGGAACTGGACAGGGATTTCGAAATCGATTCCCGGACGATCCGGTAAATCTTGCCGGTTACGGTGGTGCAATCAGCTGTCTCCGGAAGTTGAGCACCGCCCGTTCACGGCGGAGGAGGACGAGATCATCGTGAGAGCCCATGTCGAGCACGGGAATAAGTGGGCCACCATCGCTCGTCGGCTCAACGGCCGTACTGATAATGCCGTAAAGAATCACTGGAACTCCACGCTGAAGCGAAGGTTCTCCGCCATGGCTATGGAGAACGGTGCTATTTCGGAGGACGATGGGTACCACTTGGCAGATAAAAAGCAAAGATTGTCGCCGAAACCGTTGATCTCTTCTCCAATCGAAGCAGATCCGAAACCGAAAGCTCCGGTTTCTAATCCATGCCTCCTTCCTCCTCGCAACGGAGACGGATCGCCTCGTTCTGACGTCACCGATTCGAACCAGGATGCGATTTCACCGGAGGCGGTAACGAAATCCACCTCTCCGCCGTCTATCCACGGCGATCCTCCGTCGGAAAACGAGACCAACGTCGTCTCCGCCGAGGATCGAAACAGAGAGAGAGAGACAGAGAAGGTAAACGAGAAAGTCTCGACGGAGCTGACCCTGAGCCTCCCATGGACCGAGTCGAACAATACCAACTCGACTCGGGTAAACTCGGCGGCGATGAAGGAGGAGGAGGATAGTGATAAGGGCACGACGGAGACGAGGAGGGGAAGCATGTTTGGGTCGGAGTTCATGGCGGTGGTGCAGGAGATGATTAGGGAGGAGGTGAGGAGTTACATGAGGGCGAAAGGGAAAAGAGACGGTGGTGGTGTAATTAACGCAGGGATTAAGAGAGTCGAGATTAACAAAAACTGTTGATTAAGGGATTTGTTTAGTGGGTATAATTACGGTTTAAGGTTTTAGAATCCGATAATACAACAAGAAACAAAACTTGTTGATTGATGAGATGCCAGATCATTTTTTCCTCATGTCGGGATTTATTTTCGTTTCTTTAAATCCGCTAATAATAATGGGTGTTAAAATTTTGTATATATATATATATACCGGGTGGAATATTTAGATTTTATGTATGAAATCAAACCATTAAAACACAAACTGCAATATGATTTTTTTATTAATTAATTTAAATATAATCTGAACCGAAAATGTGATATTGATTGGAGATGTAAAAATAAATAAATATAAGATGAGTTGAAATAGCAATCTCTGGTTATTCAAATTCTTATATAAATTTTTTTTTCTCATTTTTCTAACCGTTATTGAAAGTAACAAAATTTGCAAATTATGCGAACCTTGGATAAAAAACTGACGAACTTTCAGATTATAAAAAAAATAAAAATAAAATAGATATAAACGGAATGAAGTAGGGAATATTCAACTATATCTATACATATATTATCATTTGCGAGATCTGCGACATATATTTTTTTTTTATATTGGAACTTTAAATAGCCGACCATATTTAAATCATCGTTAATTTTATGAGATATAACAGTCACGTATAAAAATTGTTATTTCAGTTTCAGAACTGATTTTGAACACAATGAAGAAGAATAACAACAAAGTGGGCCCACGACGAGGCACATTAAAATCGGTTTGTTCATTAAAGATATCGCGTCATATGCAAATCGTTATTAAAATTTTCGATTTCTGTTTTTGAATTTGGTGGTTTTGGTTATACCATCGACGTTACAACCGTCTTTTTTTTTAATTAATTAATTTAAGCATAGTTACAAAAACGCCATCAATATAAGAGACTAATGAAGACTACCATATGTCGGATTATAAAAATTCATTTATAATAAAATTCATATTTATTTTATTGGAATTTAATTAAAAGTCATATTTAAGAGTCCGTACATATATATATATATATATACACATACTCTAATGAGAAGATAAGGTCAGAAAAGGAATAGAGACGGAAAGGGTAAAATGGTGAATAAAAATAATATAAGGGTTAGAAAGAAAGATTTAGAAACTTGAGGGGGTTTAAAATTTAAAATTTGCAGTTTTGGAAACAGAGGAAGGTGAGTGAATCCGACGTCGTTTTCGAGCGACTCGCATATCATCGTCGCCAGGGAAAATAACAGAGAGAGACGCGAGAATCTCAGAGATCTTGGATCAAACGCTCTTCCTCCCACAGAATTTAGAAACCACGAGGGAAGAAGAAGAACAACAACGACAACGCAAAGAGCAGTGAAGAATAAGAAGAAGAAGCAATCTGATTACGGAGAAGGGAGGAGAAGATGTTGCCGACGACCTCCAGATCTCGCTCTTCATCTTCTTCATCCCGAGCTAATCCAATGTTCCTTCAGTACTTTCGCCGCATCGTAAAGGTTCTCTCTCTCCCTCTGTCTTTGAAATCATTTCATGTCTGTTTTCTTGGACACAGTTTCTAATTTTGTTCTCTCCCCGTTGTGGCTGTAGATTCCCGGAATTTTTCTACTGTAGTAAAATGTACGAATCCATCATCATTTCTCAGATCGGATTTTGGAGATGCAGAATCGAAATCCCAATCGAGAATCTTGGTTTTCTCTATAGACTAGATTTCAATTTCGTAGGATTTCTCGGAAAATTTGTCTCAAATGTTACTAGGGGGGGGGGAATTTTTTTTCACTAGGTCTAGTAGCTTCTGCTAAGAGATTTGGTGCTATAAGTGGATCACTTACTTCAAGTGCTGTTGGAGAGCCTGATGATCCTGGAATTCATTGAATTATTTTCGCAATTGATACAGTTGTAGGGTCATTTTGGTTGGGAAACTGCGGATACGTATATAATCTTAGTGAATGCTTGTTCTGACGCTTAGGAAGCGTCTTGGGTAAATTTTATCTGCAATTATATAGTATTATGGTTCTTGAACCATATATAAGTTTAATGTTTGGTGCTGCATAGGTTGCACCATGCTGCGTTTTCTCATTCTACATCATTTGATCGTTGCAGTGGCAGCAAATGGATATTGAATATACTTTCTGGCAAATGCTTCACTTATGCACATCACCAAAAGTTGTGTAAGTCTGTTACTGATTTAACCGTTGTTGTTCGATTTGTTATTTTCATCTCGAAAGTTCGGTTACTTCAGCGACTCCCTCCTAATACAAGTTGATATAAGGGTTTAACACTGCTTCAGTAATAGTGATTGCAGAAATGATGCGTTAGGAGTAAGTGGAGAAATGGTCTTAATCGTGAGTAATGCATTTAAGAGGGACAACTGGAAAAAAAATGAAGCAGACATCTCTATAGAGGTTGTTAGGGACTGAGACTTGCTGTTGAGCCGTTCGATTTTCTTGACAAATTGACTCTGGGCTGTGAGATAGTTTCACTATGGCAAAAAATGTTCGAAGAGCATTCTACATTTGAGCAAGTCTTATTGGTTGAATTATGCCTTCATGCTTGATCTTTATGAAGGTTAACAAGCTGGATATTTGAATGTAGGGCCTATTTGATTTGGTTATTTTTCTAGCATCTTATTCTCTGGCTTTTTTTGTGCTTTTGCATATGGAACTCATGGCACATCAGCTACCAGCACACTAAGTATCACAAACGTAAGCTCAATTTTCTTTCGAAACAACAATCCTTTTGCAACCAGCTTCTGTTTTGCCTATATGTGATTTTTCATTGTGTGTTGCAATATAAGTATATCCTGGCCTGTGTTTCCTACTCTTCTTGGTCATCTCTATATGTGAGTGCTTCCGTTTTTAGTTTCAATGGCCTTTTATGTTGATCAAAGGTGATCATTATCACGGTGTGCAAATTTTGCTTCAAAATTGTTAAGATAAGCGTGATTACTTTAATTTTGTTTCTCTTTCTTTGTCTCAGAAACTAAGAACCAATGGGCACGTGATGACCCCGCTTTTGTTGTGATCTGTAGCCTGCTTCTTGCTGTTGCTACCATAGCTTATTGTGTCGCGTATGTCTTTGCAACTTGCTATTGTATATGTGCATTGTCAGAAGGTGCAAGTAATTGCACTATTACCTTAAAAGACCTATTTGATTCTCACCGCTTTTTCTTTTTCTGTTATATATACTTCAGGTATGACCACAGTGTCTCGCACGCTCTGTTCGTAGTTTTCTCAGTTTTGCTTCTCCATTTCTTTACCATTGGAGCAACTGTAGCTACATGCTGTTGGTAAGTGTAACTTCCGTTAGAGACATTTATTAGATGCAAACTTCACATACATTATGTATCTTTGTGATTTCTCCTTGCATATGGACACATGGGATTTGAGGCATTGAGAATGCTTAAAGCTGAGCTATCTGCTGGAAATGGTCATTCATCTGATCTGGTTATTACTTGTCTAGCTCACTGTGTAGCGCATGGCCTTCACTCTTACGCTTTACCAGCGGATTTCCTTTTAATGGCCAACGTTACGGGAGGAAACCCTTCTGCATGAATTAATGTTGATTTTTGTTTTTTTAATTCACCTATCCAAGGGGATATCATTTTACAATTTCATTTCCATTCTGAGTAGAGATATTATGTATTATCCAGGTTTCTCACGAACTCTTACCTTCGGGAGGAGACTCCTAACAGTCATGTAGTGGAACAACGTGTTGAATGGCAAGTATATAGTTTGAATTTTTCTTCTTTCCTCTTCCATTTTGGTCGGTTGCCTTTTCTGCATTCAAAAGATTAGATGTGAAAGTTTGGGAAGAAAAAAAAAGGTTGCATCTGGGAAATGGGAAAACAATGTGCATACTTTCGCCATCTTCATTCATGCAAATCTATCTCTTGTGTATCTCGGCCTGTCTGATTTGGTTCAGTGACATCTTTTCTGTGCTCCTATAATAGGCTGTATGCGTTCGATGTTCACTGCAACTCATTTTTCCCAATGTTTGTGCTGCTTTATGGTAATTCTCTTGTCAAAAGCATATGCAAGTCTTAACCAGAACTACTACTACAGAACAAAATTTATGCATAACTTGTGGCTTCTTGTTGCAGTTGTGCATTATTTCTTGTCACCTCTTCTGATAACACATGGGTTCATCTCTGCATTGCTTTCGAATCTGCTTCTCATGGTCGGGGCTTCTTACTACCATTATCTCAACTTTCTAGGATATGATGGTAAGGCCACATATTGCTCTTCCTCTTTGTTAATTCTTCCGAATGTTGTTACCACGCACCAACGATGCCCGCAACTTCTTTGAACTGACATCCTGTCTTTTTTCGACATTTAGTCCTTCCCTTTCTGGAGAGAACAACGTTTTTCCTCTACCCGATTGGGATAGTGATAGTCCTCTCCCCTATTTGTAAGTTCAATTCTTAATGAGTTTCGTACGTCCAGCTTTCTCGAAGCAAGAAATATCAATTCTTACATACTTTATTTCCTTTCTGCAGTGATCTTAAGCGGCTTCAATCCTTCGAGATATTTTATGAACATCTACTTCAGCCGAATATTGTGATGAGATTACCAATCCCTGATAAGAGCATCCGTGAATCCAATGGGCTCTGCAAATACATCACGGAAAATAGAATGGGTAAGATTCACGAACCCGGAACCCGAAAAACAGATCATGATTAATATCTTGCTCCGTTTGGGTCTGGCACCACCTACTATACTAATAGAGCAACTAGAAACCAGCAGCGAAATTTTCTGAACCCGAAAAATTTGCTTTTCATTGATCCTCATTATAGATGTTCAAAACGTAGTGTGATTTTGGCATATGCATCTTCGTTTTGTTTTAGGGCGCTTTTGGGTGGTTTTTTTTTTTGGGGCATGTAGGGGTTGGATCTTAAGTTGGATATGGTCTCTTCGAGGCCAAATGAGTAAAATATAGCCATATTATTTTCAATGTATGGTCTATAATTGCAATCTTTTCTGTTGTATTGTCCCTTTCGGCTTATAAATCATTCATGTTTCTCTACCTATATATAGGGATGGACGTTCCGGTACGATTCCTCGGATCGAACCGTACCGAATGAGAAATGCGATATTTTTTTTAATCTGAACCTTCCAAAATTTCCGTACAGTATTATTTTTAGAAAACCAAAATTTTCGGAACCCAATCGAATCAAATATGATATAATAACCGATTGATACATATTTTTGTAAAATCGAAACAACCGAACCGAACTTGAACCGAATATTGAAACGTCGAGTCCTATCTATATGTATAGTTATGTGGAGATGAGGTGGGGTTTGGTGTCATGGGGATTAATATTCGAAGGCAGTACTTGAGTTTTGGAAAAATAGATGTCGGATTGAGCATATATTACGGGACCTAAGTCCAGAGACATTACGTAATAACGTGAAACATCAGAAAAACATTAGTCACGGTTTAACCCAATAAGACCATTCCCTGTTGTTGGTTTGTTTCTTTGTAAGAAATATATAACAACAGATCCGAGCTTTACAATCTATGTATACCCCACTGGACTTTCCCGATGAACCGGAAAAAACCCGAATCACGTGTTTATAGGCATCTTCTCCGGCTCTCGCACTCAGCAAAAAGTCGGTGTGACCATATTTTCCGAGATAAAGCGACTTTGGTTTCGAAGGCCGTTTCCTTCACATCCCCTAAACCATCAACCTCGCCATATCCCACCCATCATAATGGCAAAGATTCCGGCATGAGGCCGAGGTCGAAAGCCTCCTGCAGGCTTTCATCTTTGCATACATACACCACCAGATTTTTCAGTAGTCCATAATAATGTTGTGCAAAGGTTCCCTTCCTACATTCACTAAACAAAGTTCGAAAATTCAAAGTGTATATAATGTATGTTCTTTTGTTTCTTTCTATCATTGTGTATATTTAGAAATAGATAACGTGGATTAGATCTGAATCCAAAGAGAAAATCGACTGCAAATTAAGAAAAAAAACTGGGAAATGGGCAAATGTCTTGCGTTGGAAATTCTTGACAGACGATGGGTGAGGCTCGTATTCTAGATTGAAATTCTGTCCGCGAGTCATTCAGGCAGCAACTCTTCCCTGCAGATTCATTGCCATCAGTTCAAGAGAAAGGATTAAAAAAAAAGGTACCAAAAAAGCTTTCTTCCCCAGAAAATATGAGGAAGAAACGTAGGATTACATACAAGGATCTGTCGCCAGAAAGTCATGCCATCTCCTATAATTGTGGTCCGTGGAATCACACAGTTACAAGTCCAGTAAACACCTGAGTTACTAAGCTCAATAAGCATCAGCTATGTATCACCTCCTCTCCAGCCGAAAGCTAGAGAGGGAAAAACCAGAGAGAAGGCAATGGTATATTTCTCCCTTCATAAGAATTCTCTGTTAAGACGAAACTGCTCTATGAACGTCCGAAGCAAAATAGAAAGGAAGGTATCTAGTTAGTTTCTAAGCATAAAAAAAGCCAATGTGAAGTTAGGGAATTCAAGCATGGCAGTCAGTCAATTATATAAAACAGAGTGATATGTCGGCAGCGTATCTACCGCCACAGGAAAAAAGAGGAGTAACCTGTTATGGTTGATAGGAACATATGGCCATCGCGCAGTGAGTCTACAAGTTTTGACTTAATCTATCACTGAAAATTTCGAATAAACCACATGAGAGATGTTATCAACGCCAAAGGAAGTTCAGCATAAGAACAAGAGAAAAAACTTCTAAAGTTCAATTGGTGAAGCTGTTAGAGTCCCACATCGGAAATATGTGGGAACAATTGAGTCAATATAATACCATGGGCACCCTCCCCCAATAAGCTAGCTTTTGGAGTGAGTTTTACCCATGGGCTTTGAGACTTTGTTGGGCCCATTATTAATGGGTGGGTTCTATCAAATTGGTATCAGCGCTGTGGATGTCACTGTCTAAAGGGGACGGTATTGATAAGTGACCCACATTGGAAAATGAGAGGGATTTGGGCCAATATATAAGTAAGGGACCAATTAATAAGGTTTAGGTCCTAACTCCACCACAAAAGCTAGTTTAAAAGTGGAGGTTTGACCCTTACTTATATATTGGCCCAAATCCCTCTCATTTTTCAATGTGGGACACTTATCAATACCGCCCCCTTTAGACAGCGACGTCCACGGCGCTGGGGCAAATCTAGTTGCTGGCGGCTTCTCGGTCGATGGCGGCTTCTCGATCACTGGCGGCTTCTCGGTCCATCCCCGACCATTCCTCTCCCGACCGTCCCACAACCACCGAGTCGACCGCATGTCCGCAGGAGAATGGTCCGTCAAAGGCCCACCGGAAAGTAGAGAACCAGGCTCTGATACCAATTAATAAAGTTTAGGTCCTAACTCCACCACAAAAGCTAGCTTAAGAGTGGAGGTTTGACCCTTACTTATATATTGGCTCAAATCCCCTTCATTTTCCAATGTAGGACACTTATCAGAAGCCCAAGAGCAAAGACCATCTGTGGTGTAATTTATTTTTACTTCCTGGCATTGCTTTTAAGAGATTCCAGAACCATGAATACCTGATCGAGATGCATTTGAACCATTCTTTCTCCAAGTGGAGCTGTAACGTGATCCAAATATGATATTTGGACAAAGCAGAGGAACCATTTCCACAATGTGCGGCTGAATAAGAGCATCAAACGGCATGTTATCCCTATCCTGAACCTGGGAATGCCCAACAAGGAAAATTTTTGAGTTGGTTGTCGATTGGATGTATTATATATCATTTCTGCCAGATCTTGGCAGCTCCAGTCCCAAAATTTCTGCAAATCAACATAAATTTTCATATGAAGATTAGCCAAACAACATTTCTTTTTCTAGAAAGCCAAAATTATTTTAATACCTCTACTCTTTTGCACTTTTATCGTTACCTATATTGATCGGCTTATTAACAGAAGCTCAGACGCAAAATGGAGAATATACTAGCAAGATTTGATTGGACAAACTGGTCACGGGCTTAAGGAGCATAAAATAGCATCGTCAACAAATGTTCATAAGGAAAGAATGTTCATAAGGAAAGGTTCTTCTGGATAAAAAAAAAACAAGGGGAGCAGGGGTACAAGATGCACAACCCTGAACCAAGACACATAAGTTGCCTTTTCAGTCGTAGTTGATACATATTACAGTTTATAAGATAAGCATGAATCCAACGTTAATACATCATGGCAAAGGTCTTGCATACCTTTTCTTTTACAGACAAAGACGCATGTGTGTTCCACGAACATTGCCGACCCATATGTCAAAACCGTGATCAACAAGAATGAAGCCGAGTGATTGCTCCGGGGAGTTCAAGAAATATGCATCTCCAGCGTGAAAGGATTAACTACCTTCAATTAAGACTTAAACCAATCTACCTGAAAAGGATTATCTTTCAATACTATTACCATAAAAAGTCCATGCTGAAGCATAACAGGATGACCAGGTTGAAGCCTTAGATGTTCAGTACGAGAAGTCACACGTTGAAGAGCCAATGCATATCTATCCGTTGTTTGAATCTGAAGAAAAACATAAGAGACTAGTTCCTGGTCATGACAAATCTATATAAATACCGGTACACACAGGAGAAAAACATCAATGGGCTATTATAACTCAACCCAAGAGGAGTACAACAATAGGCTTTCATCCTCATGAAAATCAAAATTTCCGACCATTTTATGGTGAAATTCGAGGCTTGATCTGACAGTTTCTAGAGTACGAAGACAACTCCCTCAAAAGAGAGGTGAAATAGTTTACAAATGATTTGAATTATGTGATTAGGAAGTTCGTCTAGTAAAAGACAAATTAGCAAAGATATTATCCATGTATTGAGCTTGTTTTAGTGTAATACAACATAAATGTCAATTTCAGTCGCTCCTCTCTCTCTCGATCTCGATCTCCCAATTGTATTCTATGTTCCATCCGCATCTAAAATGGAATCAGAGCTATGAAAATGGATTCCCACCACGCGTATTAGATCGAGCAATGCTACAAATCTTATCCGAAAGAATTCAGTCTCCAGCAGGAGCAGCTTGCCCAAATCGATCAACCAACTTTCAGCTTATCGCATTTCGCCACCGTGAGGGAACCGTAAGCTATATTATGACAGATGGAGAGAGAGAGAGATTACCTCGGTGCAGGGATAACCAGCGGGTTGGATGAGCTGAGCGGAGAGAGAGTTCAATGGAGACTCACCATATGATACGGTGGCCAAGAGAGCGGAGATGATCGCCGACGCTACTAGCGGCGACACCATTGTCGCCGGAGATTGGAGTGGTCGCGTCCCAGAATGCACGAAACGAATTGATGGGTGGGCCTTGGCCTTTTCATTTTTTAAAATCCCAAAAATTTAGCCCAAACGTTCGAGATCGGTTTTATTATACTCGATTCCATTATTTAGAGGAAAAAAAAAATAATTATTCCATTTTTATATCGATTCAGGCCCTTCGAATTTAACTTTTATTGATAAAATATTTATTTCAGGAAAGAAATTTCAATTATTTTTTTATTTAGTTCGGTTAGATTTTTTTTATAGAAATAACGTTTTCGATAGTTAATTTGAATCAATTTGATTGTTCCATTAAAAATCAAATGAATCCTGATTTCTTCTCATAGATTTTATTAAATTTTATAAATTGTGGAAAAATACAACAAGAAGTACGATTATTTGGTACTATTTGAATATATTTTCAGAATTATCTCCATTATTTCTTTATAAGCCTACTACAATTATAAACACTCGGTCTTATTCGCCATTTTATTCAACATAATATAATATTTCAAGTAAAATTATTCACGTAATTTCCCTTAATGGCCGTACTTAGCCTTGTAATCCCTCCAAAGCTGGTTCACGTCTTTGCCAAGCAACTCGACAAAGAAGCTCTCACTGTAGCCATTCCTCATCCTCTTGTTCAACTCGGCCACAAACCCATTCCTCAAATCATTACAATAATCCAAAAACCGAGCGGTGACGTCATACCCCTGGTCCCACCTGTCTCCTTGACCCGGCCCAACCCAGTGACTCGGCCCAAGACCCGCTTTAAGCCTCACGAAATCAGCGATCCCTTCTATCAACCCGCCCGGAGCCCCACCCGACCCGTTCCACTGCCACACGTGGACAATCTCGTGGTACACCACCCCGGTGAATTCCCTCCTCACGTCCCCCGAGAAACTCCCGAGATACCCCGCGTTGAAGTGGATCTGGTCTCCGGACGTGAACGCCACGCCGTTTCCGTTCTCCATGAACAGCGTGATTTTCTGCACGGGTTTTCTGTCCGACGCGGCGTTCGATTGCTGGAAGACTCGCCACACGAACTCCGTCGCCGACCTCAGCGACTGCGTGCCGTAGCTTACGCCGCCGATCTCGCCTCGAAATCTCTGGCCGCCGGCGGAGTTTCCGGTGTTGTCGACGACGGAGTAGTCAACGGCGTTGACCAGACTGAGAGTGAGCACGAGGGAGATGACAAGTAAGAAATTTTTACCCATTTTTTTTTGTTTTGAGTAAATTTTTGGAGATGTGTTCCTCCCCCCGCCGATCTCGCCTCGAAATCTCTGGCCGCCGGCGGAGTTTCCGGTGTTGTCGACGACGGAGTAGTCAACGGCGTTGACCAGACTGAGAGTGAGCACGAGGGAGATGACAAGTAAGAAATTTTTACCCATTTTTTTTTGTTTTGAGTAAATTTTTGGAGATGTGTTGTGTATATAAAATGCAACTATGTTGGGTTTAAATAAAGGATGCATGGGAGACTTGGTCAGTCAACGGTGCCATATTTTGTACGTCTCATGTTTCCTAATGAAATGTCGTATATATTATAAAGATATTTATTTAATGAATGCCTACTAACATATAAAGATATTTATTTGATGAATGCCTACTATTGAAAAAATAGAGAAAATTATATATAAATACTTTAAATTTATAAAATATATTAAATAAATACTTTAATTTTTTTATTTCTTAAATGGTAAAATATTCTAAATCGATATTTTAACTCACGAAATCGATGATAATTTCTAATAACGAACTTGACGACAAATATTAAACTAAAAAATAGATCGAGTTTGTACATTGTTATCGATTTCATGAGTAATGGTATGAATTTGAAATATTTGAATATTTGATATATCAATTTAAAATATTTTTATAATCGAAATGTTAATTAGATCAAATTAAAATTCAAGTATTTATTTGATATATTATATAAAATTAAAATACTTATATAAAATTTTTACAAAAAATACATATATGTTTTTGTTGGTTAATGATTTATATTTTTCAAATATGGCGGTAAATCATGACCATTTTTAGTCATAATAAATCATAAACACGCATAAATTTTATAAATGTGAATTCAGAGTATGGGGTGACCTTCTAGACCCTATATTAGCTGTAAGACTTAAGCTTGGATTATTAAGGTGGGAAAACCATCCATCGGATTTTCCTTACTGTCTTAATATATTTGTAAATGGAACATCTATCATCCTAAAAATTCATAGTAGTTAGGCTATAATTTCAATATTTTGTTTGCAAATTTATTTTATTTGTTCGAAATTCATGGAATGAACGTATGTAGCTTTTTTTTTTCAATAGAAAATCGCCTAGACAATACTCAATTTTGTTCAAAATCTAATAATAAATATTCAAAATTTGAAATTTCGAAAAAAAATATATTTGTTTTTAAGTTTATATTATAATGAATTATTTAAATCTTTTCGCATACCAACTAACCCTAAATCCTAACTGTTCGATGGGAACCGTTATTTATATATGACTTGGCAACAAAAAAAAATATAACTAGATTATCACGCCAACTGTCATGTCACCACGTATCTCAATTTTATTAAAAAAAATTAAAATAAAATTTACAAAATACATATATACACAATCACATACATATAATACGCATATATATAGGTATGTGTTATATATTACATCTATATGTATATATATCTGTATGTGTATTTTTGTGTATATGTATACATATGTACGTGTGTGTGTGTATATGTTTTGTAAATTTTTTATGGCCTTATAGCTTTGGATGCCATGGAGTGTGACGTGAAAGACTAGTCATATTTTGATTTCGTCGGTCATGTCAATGCCGATGAAGTATTCCGTCCAACAGTTAACGCCGTTAAAGGGTGAATTAGTTATACAATAAGATTTAATTTCTCTGAAAATTTCAAAGTTCAACGGATATACAAGCTTTTAGCAAAAATTAATAATATATTTTGTGTTAGGTGTTAGTGTGGATATTATTGGATAAGTCAGGTTCAATATCTTTTTAGAAATTTCCGTGATTCTATAAAATATACGTATAATATCGGAATACAAAAAAGAGGTATCGTGTTTGTTGCAATTTAGACTTGCCATAACATAAAAGAAAAATCAATACGTAATAAAATAAGACAAAAAAAAACATAATTTTCAAAATGTTGATAATATATACATATATATATATATATATATATGAATGTATATATTGGCAAATGAGTTGACCAAGACTTTGACCATGACTCTTCAGACAAGCAGAGCGGTTGCACTTTAACTTGGAACTACCACTTGCAGAACCAAGAACAAGGCAACTACACAAACATCACGATGATATTTTTAATGAATTTGTTTTTTATTATCATTTTTAATGAATTTGTTACAATCCTATATCGACTAAATATATAATCGACTTGATAGATTAAAAAATATTCTGTTACAAACTAATTTTAATGAATTCCGTTTCTAATATATCGGTACTCTAATACGATATAACATATATTTTTATTAACTAATATCAGATTTAGGAAGAAATGGTCAATAAACGCTATTATATGTGTGTGTGTATACATGGGTATTATTCTTTTATAAAGTAGTTTATGTATTCGAGTTTTATGTATATTAATTATATGTATTATAAGATGCACCGTAATAAGTAATATATATATATAATTTAATTTATAGTATTTTCTTTCAAAATTTCGAAATGTTAGTCGAATGAGATATATGTTCATAGGGGATACGTAGGGGTGGGCGTTTCAGTAATCGGTTCGGGTTCAGGATGAGAATATATCGGTTCGGTTTTTTTGATTTTACAAAAATAGGTACAATCGGTTTTTATATTATATTCGGTTTGATTCAATTCGGTTGGGTTTTATTTTTTATTAAAAATTAGATTTTCTTTAAAAATAATTTTGTTTTTTTGGATTTTTATAAAATTCTGTTTGATTCCGAAATCTAAAAATAATATCATTCGAAAATTTAGAACGATTCAAATTAAAAAAATACCATATTTTTCGGTTTGATTTAGTTTAATTTAGTTCTGAAGAACCGAACCGAAACGTCCATCTCTAGAGATACGTGTAGTAAATATAGAATTCAAATTATACATTTAATAAGTTTAAAAATTTTTAAAATAATTTTTTTTTAAAAGGACCTCTAATTTTAGGACCTCTGTTGCACCACCTTGAACACTACATAAAATGGGCCTGCTGAAAATATATCTTAAACATATGTCCCCTTTGGTTGGTATTTGTAAGAGTACCATTCTGGTAAAAATAAATAAAAATAAATCCAGATATTAATATTCAAATGCATATTTTATAAATATTTGCCTTTGATGATGGAACCGGACCCGTACCAAGAATGCTAAACCGAGCCGATCCACTGAACCGACGGGCCATGTGAAATCCAGTGTGTTGTTGTATTATCCATGCTAGAGGGGCCAGGTCATACAGCCCTATTGGCCATGTGGGTCCCAGGGCCGCCTAATTGTTTTCTTAGAAAATGATTTTTATTTTGGTCTTTTTTATTTTAAAATAAAATTATATCATTCAAGATTCGATTTAATTAAGAATAATCATGTTATGAAGAGAACATTAGAGTTTTTAATTTTTAAATTTAATTCATATATTTTAAGATATATTCATCCTATTTTTGTATCGAAATTATATTGATATATAATTATATGGTATTCTATTCAGATTGTTTTGATTTTGCATAAGAAACCAAATTATCTTGCTTATATAAATAAAACATATTAATTAATGGGAAGGCAAAAATGAAGATGAGTATATTTAAATGTTTAAAATTATTATTATTATTAATATTAATATATTAATATCGTAATTATTTAATATAAAACATTTAAATATTTTTATTATTTCGTCCACAAAAATATTTCTAATATGGCATGTCAAAATAAATATTTCATATGAAAGATAGTATGGAACTGATGACTACCAAGCATCGTAAGAAAAACTAACGATGTTTTTAAGCATTTTACTCTTAATTTGGCCGGACGTTTTAATATTTTAAAATTTTGTTACGATGCTATATTATCATTATTTGTTGGACATTTTATTAGCATTTCCAAGCACGAATGGTCATGGCCTTTTGTAAATCGGATCTGCTAGGCTTCTATATAACTTTTTTTTAAAAAAATTAATAAATTGTTATTACATTAAAACAATATATATATATATATATATATATATATATATATATTCAATCTCAAAAATCAAATTGCTTAAAATGGTATCCTTTTGGGAAAATATGCTAAATTAAAGGGCAGCATCTCATTTCTATATGACTTTGTTTATATACATACGACAATGTGGTGAGTTTTTATTACCATTTTTTTTTTATCTATTAGCTACTGTAACAGATATTCCTCGAATGTGGAGAATTATCATTCTAAATTTTAATAACGTTTATTTAATAAAAAAAATGAATAACTTGTATATATATTGTTATATTTCTGATAGTATTTTTATCTAAATATCTATATCCACCGTTTCACTTCATCCTGTCTTCTACTTCAATTTTTTTTTTGTCTCAATTTTTTTCTTCTTACACGTAGTTCACTCCATGCACAAAAAATTCCTAAAAAGTTCATTCCATCTGCCGACAAATATATATACACACACACACACACAATCATCATAAATTAATCTTGAATTATCATCATCTGAAAAAATGAATCTTTACATGGATCGTTAAAAGAAAGCACAACAAACTTTTGTTGTATGAGTCTAAAAACATGTTTCTGATGCATAATCCGGAAAAAAAAAGTGTATATACTGCCGCCTACAAAACCCTAAACACAAAAAAATAAAAGAAAGAAAAAGAAATAAATAAGAGATTATGTATATATATATATATATATATATATATTGTATTCTTATGATTATACCAAGAAGAACTTCACTGAGGAATGAACAAATCAATGACCACGGCCTCGACGGCTTGGACCCGAATAAGCTTTGTAGATGAAGAATCCATCTGCTCGAGATCCATGACGATGATCATGATCATGATCGTGATGATCATGGTGATGCTGTTTCTCTTGCTCTTGCTCTTGATCTTTGAGAGGCCTTGAACTTTCAATGCATGGAGAATGAGATAGAAGAAGAAAGAAAATGAAAGTTAGATTGATCGCCAGACCAAATGAATAAGACCTCATCTCTCTCTCTCTCTCTCGTTGTGCCTTGAAATTTAACCTAATATCATAAGAGATTCAATTTGGTTGGTTGGGATTTTGATTTTTGGTTATGGCATGTGTGCTTGTTATATATATATATATTAATTTCTTTGTGCAGGTGATTTTTTAGGCACAAACAGTCCATTTTGACTTTTTCTTTCGGCACTCAACCTTTGATTATATGACTATTTCACACGGTTCCCCTCTGATATAGTTACGGATTTGATAAAAGATCTTATGAATTTAATTTAATGGACTAACCAATAGAAAAGTGGCGAAATGGATTAAAATTAAATATTATATCTACACTAATCATTTTTTTAAAAAAAAATGGAGTAACTGGTGAGATTTTTCTAAATTGAAATTTGCTAATTATGAATTTTTAATTTTTAAAACAAATAAAATTTAATTAACATATAATAAAAACGAGACTGGTTTGGGGGTTGACTTTGACGAATGCTTTCCTTTGCATGACCGATGGATGATATAAGGAAGAAGTCAAAATGTATTTAGATAGAATTAAATCGCATCTACTACCTGTTCCTTGATATTGAGCGAGAAAACGTGCGTTCAAGTTGGTGCGTTGTTGCATATACATATATATATATATATTTCATATCTCATGTTCTTTTACAAATAAACGGGGATATTTTAATTTAATATGGCATGTCCATACAAGATCGAATTTTGTGCAAATCCAAGCGTGTAAGATACATTCACACGGACCTTTTCCGATGTTTTGAGAAATGTAATTAGGCCAAAACTCATGTGAATTTTCGGATTATCAAACAAAATCTAATTTTGTTATATATAGATAACTATATGTATACAAATAATCATATTTTTCATTTCTCATATTCTTTTATAAATAAAGGTGATATTTTAAATTAATGTGGCATGTTCATACAAGATCTGATTTTGCTATTGTTTACATATCCAATTTATACCAAATCATTTTGTCTATATGCATCATATTAAACCACTGTAGTGTTGATTTGGTTGAAAATGCCTTATAAAATATCCTAAACCCAAAGTTTGATTTCTACAATTCATTCAAGTCGTTTCTCATCTTTTGACCAAAAAGTATATATTTAACAATAAAGTTATTTAAATACTAAGTAAACGATCCAAACATGGTTTTGCTTAAATGTATTTGTAATGGTTTGAGGAAATATACCGCATATACAATTATATTGTAGACTACTAAAACTTTCGTCTGATAATTTCAATTTCAAATTCAAATATTCTAAGCGTAAACTTAATAAATACATATATCCTATAGTTGAAAGGCTTCTTTTTAAAGGGCATAGCAAAATAGGAACTTGTTTCATGAAATATATATTGAATACTAAAACAAATTTAGGTTATGTTTTCATGGAGGTATTTATTATTCTCCGAAAATGAAAATAATAAAATATTTTCTTATAGAAAAAAGTGGTAATTAAACTAAATCCAAATAATATTGGAGGAGGTCCATTTAAAGAGTCAAAAGATATTGGGATTTGCTAACCTAATTATAGGAAGCAAAACTCAAACTCCACCAACTCCCACGCTCTAATTATATTCCCAATTTCCCATCGGATAAGAGCCCTTCAATTAGGCAATTAAATCAAATTTCTAATCATTAAAAGATATCAAATTCGGTTCTTTTTAAAGTTCTTAGAAAAAAAATGGATTTAATATTTATTTGCTTTTTTTTTCCTTTGAAAAAGTGATCGATTGAACTTTAGATTTCATTGAAAAAGATTGTATTTTTCATATGTTAAAAAATGAAATTAAATGAAAATCTAATTAAACGTATTTTTTAAATGTCCTCTCTTTTTGACTTTTACGTCGAATAATAAAATTCTGAATTAAGAATATAATGTAACTATACAAACATGGGATAGTCTGAGGTGTTTGAGGGGCATTTAATTCAGAAATACTTTGGCTATTGAGTGGAAAATTCTTTTTCCAGTTTACATTTCCCTTGAAAATCGTGTTTGGTCGTGTTAAAATATCATAACTTACAAAAAATAATAAAATATTTATTTTTTAAAATTCTAACTTCAATGCTTTTCGATTTTCATTAATATAAGCATATCGTATTTTTTTATTTTTTGTATATTTATCAAAAGAAAAATACTTTTCTTTTATGCCAATTGTTATTTAGTGTTTGTTTTGATAAATTTACCATCAGGAAATTTATCCAACTCTTGAATGGCTAGGAAAATAGTCAAAGAGTGGATGGGGTTTAAGGCAAAATTTAAAACTAAAATATCTATTTTTAAGTAAATATTAGGATTATTTGAGTGCTTTACGAGATATTATAACTATTTGGTATACTTATTGTAAATTTAGCAAAATGAATATTTTTTTAATAAAAAAGATCAAAATAAAATGGATACTGATTAGTAAATTGAGAATCCAGATAAAATATTTTCATTATATATATATCTTCTCTCAAGCTTTTTGTTTTGTATAGATTTCTTAAATTTTATTAATAGAATGTTTTTTTGACCCTGATATTTTCATATAAATATGGACATACGATCTTTTTAAATTAGTTTTTTAAATTTTAGAAAATGGTATATTTTAATTAAAAAAAACTAACCATTGTTATATAATATTTGACACATTTATCATCAGCTTAATAGTTTTTTCGTTTTTTTCCCATTTTTTTTCGCCCCACTTCTTGAATCGAAAAAAATTATAACTTTTGAAAACCAAAGCTTACACCGAAGTTCAAGTCGTTAAATAGGGGTAGTCATTTCGGTTATTAACCGAATAACCGAGGCGAACCGAACCGAATAAGACATAACTGTATCCGAACCGAACCTGACATCGTAACCGTTCGGTTATGATTTCTTTAAATCCGAAAAAACTGAAACTGAATCGGACCGAACCGAAAAATAACCGAATCGAACTGAACCAAAATTTATATAAAAACCAAATGGTTATAGTTTTTCTATAACTGAACCTGAATATAACCGAATCGAATCCGAACCGAAACCCGAATTGACCACCCCTAGTTAAATACAAATCTTCAAAAATCTAGATCATGAATATTGATGCCTAAATTTTAAACCTAGATTCGGTAGTGAAGATTACATTTCAAACGGAAATAAAAGGGATTGTGATGATAGAGATTGGTCTGCCTTGAGAATCAGATTGCGAAACAAACATGGCAAAGGCATGAAGAGCTTCTGTTTCTTTCAGAGGTTCACCGTGGGCAAATGTGTTGAGGGGCAAACCGGTAAATTCGAGGTTCTTCGCCATTGAGCTTGTAATTCTCTCTCTAAGAAGCTTATAGTGGATTCGTCGGATCCTGATCCGGTCGAGACGTACCGTACTCTACACAGGAGGAGACGGAAACTCGTTAAATCTCGTGCATAATCATTCTTTCTCTTCTCGGTTTTCTGGTTCGATTTCTACCGGAGTTCAATCGAATAGAAATCATTTTCAATCGCAAATAAAAAAATCACAAATGTTTGTTTTATTTCTTACAGAAACAAATATATATATTTTGATTGTAGTTGTAATGTCCCGAAAATTCCAATCCAAACTTCAACAAATCAATACATTACCAATTTTTTACACTAGTGTTACGAAATTAAAATCTATCAATAATAAATGGGGATCAAAGAAAAATATTTCCGACGTCGAAGAATGAAAACAGTAACTTTGTTTTATTCTATCATTACGAAAAAATATCGTTTCAAATCTTGCGATTTGTGACTGCATGTTTTTAAAGAACATTTCATTTCATAACATATACACACACACATGTATATGTACATAATCTCTCGTTAATGCCAAAAATCTACTAAAATCTAGTGAATAAATGTAAAAATCGAAGACTTTTCCACAAATATTTGTAACTAATTTTTGTGAAGGAAAATCGAAGGTGAATACTTCCACGCCATGCAAACACGTAGCTCCACCACAGCGAGAAAACGTTAAACTTCCACGTCCCTTAGTTAGCCTTTCGTCCATGCAAAAGAAGTGGTCGTTGTGCTTTTTCCCATTTATCCGACCGAGAAAACGCGAGAAAATCACCCAGAAAATGATAGAAAACTCTCCCTCATCAATGCAGTTCACGTCACTCGGATTCAGACATCTGCCCCTGTAACTCTAACTCTGCTATCTTTCGTTCTTGATCCTTGTTTAGTCTTGTCTCCGACTTGGCTTCTCCAGAACCACTCATTCTCTCTATAAATTCTCTGTTTCTGTTTCTGATTCTTACCAAGAATCTTATCCTCGTACATTTCCCGTCAAACAAACACTTGTTTTCCCGAGAAAATGGATCCCTGGTCGTGGATATGCGAACTCCCGGAGTCTCCCGAGTTTGTTGAGTCTGACTCACACGCGGTGTTTCACCTCGCGGATTCGCCGCCGAGTCAAGACGAGCCAACTCGTTCGATTCAACTCATAGCCGAGCGGACTTTCGAGTCGGACCCCGAATCGCCGTCGCTCACCTTCAAAGTGATGTTACTAGGCTTTAACCGAGTCAACTCGTCGATATGGATTTCTGACACGTGTCCCTTGTCTTCGGAGAAACCGTTCCTGCCTCTTGTACTCCAGCTTCTCCGGGAACTCATCTCCCTCTCCCCCGTCACCACGCGCGACGGCAGCGCGTGTGGCAACCCGCGGCTCCTAGAAATCAAACCCGACCCGGTTCGCTGGGTCATGGACTCTCACTCGCCCGAGTCGTTCTCATGCGTCTTCAACCTTATATTCCTCACGCGCCTCTTTTGGCTTTGCGTTTGCGACGCGCCGACAGAAATCGGTTCTTTCTTCTTACATAACCTCTTCGGTCCCCACGTAGAAGCCCTCACGGGCCAACACACTCCTGTTCTTCGAACCTTTTTCGTCTCGGTGGGCGTAGATGTCGAGCTGTGCATCACACGCGCCGCCTCTTACGCGTTGGCCAAGTGGTTGATCTCCAAGGAAGTTGGAATGGGCCTGAAACAGTTGTCAAGCCCATTGCCACGCCAGAGAATAGGATTCTCCTATGCAACTGAGGCCCATGGGCTTTGGGTCTTGAAGGGCTATTTCCCGACCGTATCGATGAGTGTCACTCACTGTAGTTCCAACGATTTCCACAAGATTACGAAATTTCCAATAATGGACCCTAAAGAGACTGTCCTAAGATACGCTTTGTCACACCAACAAGCGGAAGCCGTCGTACAATTCGAATACTCGGTGAAATTCCACGAAAGTTACATAAGAGTGAACGCACGTGTCGACAACATACGCGTCCACGTGGCAAAACTAGGGTTTCACAAAGGAACGGAGGTTACGGACATGGATTACTCGGAGGAAAGGTACTTCCCGTCACGAGTTCGGGTCTCGATAGGTCCGGAAATCGGATCGGCGAACGTGACCGGCCTAAGCCTAGGTCGGTCCACGAACAACGAGGAGCGAGAAATCGAGGTCACGAAGGTAATAAAGGGATCATTCGGAAAAGTGAAAGTTCCAAGAGTGAAGGCGAGGGCGAGAATGTCGACGAGGAGGAAGCTAAAGGATTGGAAGATCGAACGAGATTGCGAAGGAAACGGCGCCGTTTTCGACGCAATACTCTACGATAACGAGACCGGAGGAGAAGTGACGGAGACGAGACCATATAATTACTACGAGGGCGATCATAATAATAATAATAATATTAATTACGATAAAGGGTTTAAGAATACGTTCACGAAGAATGGAGGGATGGTGTTCGGAGGGGATGAATTCGGAGATGAAGTTGGGTGGAGAATCGGTCGAGAGATGGAAGGAAGTGTGTTGAAATGGAGAATCAGAGGGAAAATTTGGCTAAGTTATTGGCCTAACAAGTTGCATACTCCGTTCTACGAGACGAGGTTCGTGGAATGGTCCGACGAGGTTGATTTGCCTTTGGTTCCAATGTCCTAGAATGTATACATGTACACGTATATACGTATAGATACGTATCTATATCTAAGCCGATGTAACGTAATATACGTGTTTGTAGTACCATGCAGAAGTCGTAGCTCTTTTTCACGTATCGTAAACCCATTAACTCGCCATAATCGTCAGCTACGGAAAAACGGTGCTAACCGAAGTATTTAATGATGTGTGTACGAAAAAAGTGTATATTTATTTTATTTTATTGGACCTAAAATACAGCTAATACATTGATTAAACTGTTTGGAATTATACGGAAATAATTGATTTTCATCGATTTTGTTATAAATAAATAAATAAATCTCGAGAGGGTAGGGAACATATCGCGTGAGAGAGGTGGGACAGGAAAAACTGTCACGGTTCACGTCACGTGGCCCAACATGATGCCACGTCATCGTCTTCATTGGCATGCACTCCCTCACGCGCTTTTAATCTTATCTTCGCCCGTTTCCCGTGCAGTTCTTTCGGTCCCCCTCCTCCTCCACGCCTAATTTTCCCCACCCTATTTTTTCTTTAATTTAATTTAATATATATATATAAAAAAAAATCTATAAATAATTTGTGGAAAATGGCAAAAATATCGGATTATCGAACCAATTAACTATATTTTGATTCGGTTAGATATTATACACAAAATTGAACGGATACCGAACGGTTCGATTTGATTCGAAAAATACCATATGGTATTTTGATATTTTTATTTTTTATTTAAAAATATTAATATTTATTAATGATAATCATTTTGTTCAACAATAGAAAATAGTTTCATAGAAATCCATTAACATTTTATTAATTTATTTGTTTTCTTTATATTAAAGTTTTCAAAATAAACTCTGACCATTCCGAACCGTTATATAAAAACCCAAACCGCCATGATTTTGGTCATTATTTAATAATTATTTAGTAAAACCGTACCGAACCGACACGACACTAATAATGAATTGAACCGAACCGAATAACATACTATATTAATTTCATATAAATTTTATAATATCGAATAAACTAATTCCGAAACGTCGTCCGTCCCTATTTTTAGGTGTTTGATATAATTCGAAGTTTATGTATTTGGGCGGTCGGTAAGCAGACATTGGATGTAGTGATGTAAGATTATTCGATCATTGAATTTGACTTCAAATTTTTGTGCATCTTAATCGGTAAATATTCAAAAGTTATCAAAATATTATATAAAATTTATATTAATTACAAAATTATCACATACAAAATTCAGTTTTGACATACTAACAACTCTTCTCATCGTTTCCGTATCAATTTTTCTTTTAATCGAATTAGTCTTTTGTAATATTATTCTCATCTTCACTTTATTCATAGATTTTAAACATTATATCTATATACCTCATACGCTTGATATATTCAGATTCGAATTAAATTCTATCAATTTAAAATTTGATCTGTATTCAACCTTATTTTAGAAAAGAATGTATATATCAGGATAGGCAAATTGCAAAAACACAAAAAACGCTAATTTTATTTTAAATAATTTATGTTATTGGGAATTAAAATTATCTATTATAAAATTATCTATTACAGAGTTAGAATTATCTATTATAAAATTATCTATTACAGAGTTAGAATTATCTATTATAAAATTATATTAATAAGATTAGTCTTAGTTTCTTAGTAGGATTTAAATATATTTTAGATAAACTTTAGTTTTCTCTAGTGGATTATATCCCTAATATATGTTTTTTCGTTTTGTCTAAATCATTTAAAAATCATGTTTTTAAAAATTAAAAAAACAATGGGACAGACATAAAAATTACGTGGCTCTCGAAAACTATCGAAGAACAGGTGCATGCATTAGATTGTACATAAGGCTTAAAACGGGCTTTTAACTAATTTGTGTTTTCCAAAAATAAACTTTTTTTGCTTTAAAATAAAGCTACAGTAAAATCCAAAAAAAAAACTGAATTTATAAAGTTATGGAAAACAAATCTATAAATATTTTTGTCAGATAAATTTAATTTCAAACTTAAAATATATCAATATAATTTTCAAATTTATCAATTGGAATAAAAAAAAATCTCGACCATATTGATTTAGTTATAAGTTTGAGAATTATAATGACATTTTATAAGTTTGAAAATGATAATAATATATTTTTATGAATTAAAAATAAATTTGTTGAATGAAAATTTTAAAATTTTATTTTACATGCTTTTACAAGTTTCTATCCTATAATATACAAATATCTTATAATAATGGTCAGATTCACGGACAGAGTGGAGGACAAAAAGAGAGGATCCATGAACTTCAACGCGAAGATATACCAACCCATATCGATCCTTAAGATCTTCAATTATAAAAAAATATAAATTAGTTACATTAATTGGTCCGACAATTATATATATATCTGCATATCTATATATACAGGGCAATCCCAAACGCGGTTTACCGTATCTATAAAGCCTAAAAAAAATCTCTCCACAACCCTCTCAGAGTGTGTAGTCTCACTCTCTCTATCTGAACATTAGCAATGGCGGAGAAGCTGGGCTTCTTCGTCCATTTCAGCTCCTTTCTTCTTCTTGTTGTTCTACTACTGAGCACGAGCTCCGGAGAGGGAGAGATTATTCCGGTGCGGCGGATGTCGGAGAAGGACCGGTGGACTCCGACCTTGATGGACGGTCAGGATCGCTCGATGCCGCTGAAGGTGACCTTTGGCGGGCCAGCGAGGAACTGGACCGACTCCATCCCCATCGGAAATGGCCGTCTCGGCGCCACGATCTGGGGAGGAGTCTCGTCGGAGACACTGAACATCAACGGTAACAAACGACGCCGTCTCCGTTCCTCTTTCTCCGAATTTGAATCTCGTTTTTTGGGGCTTTGAGTAATCAATGTCTCTCTTTTTTTACGTCTGCTGTTCTTTAATGGCTGCGTTTGAGATTCGCTTCGTCATTGATCATTGATGTTTCTCTCTATCTCTGTGTCATTGATTGTTTATGTTTGTTAATTGATATTGGAGAAAATAAAAAATTGAACTGAGGATCTGTTTGAAAGCTCTTTGGCTTCCATGTCCTGATTCGGACTTATCTTCGTAATTGCTGAAACCAAGCAGGGCTTGATTTTATCTCACAGTAGAATCGATGTATATGAATCTGGTGCAAGCGGCACCAGATTACGTTTTAGTAAATCAAATCACTGATTTGATGACAAGTGATATACAGATCTTTTACATGACCTGCATAGGTTTTGAATGCCAGTTTCAAGAGGACAACGTTGTTTATGTTCTCGGATGATGTTTCATCTGGACAATCAAATGTGCCATGTGGGTTTTGGTGGATCAATCTGGAGGATCTGAATCTCGTTAATCCTTTATTTTCGATTTGTAGAGGATACGGTATGGACAGGAGTTCCAGCAGATTACACTAACCCAAATGCACCAGAAGCATTGTCCGAGGTTAGGAACCTCGTCAGTGATGGGAAATATGCCGAAGCTACTGCAGCTGCCGTCAAATTATCGGGCTATCCTTCTGATGTATGCAGATTCTTTCTGTCTTTGGTTCTTGATTTCTGTGTATTGTTTAGCACGAGGAGAATATCGTTGTGATTTTCCTGTTGTTTGCTTTCTGTAGGTTTACCAGCTTGTGGGAGATCTCATGTTAGACTTTGACAGTTCACATCGTAGATACACCGAAGAATCTTACCGACGAGAGCTTGACTTGGAAACTGCTTTAGCAAGAGTGAGTTACTCTGTCGGTGATGTTGAATTCTCGAGGGAGTTTTTCGTTTCAAATCCCGATCAGGTGATTGCAGCCAAGATTTCAGCTAGCAAACCGGGGTCCCTGTCTTTTACGGTATATTTTGACAGCGAGTTACATCATCACTCGGAGACTAATCCCGCGGGGAATCAGATTCTGATGCGAGGAAGTTGTCGGCCTAAGCGCCTTCCTCCAAACTTAAGCAAACGTATTAACGTTACTAATATACCTTATGATGATCACAAAGGATTACAGTTTGCTGCAATTGCTGAATTGCGGGTCAGCAATGGCGGTTCTGTGACTTCCTTGGGTGGCAAGAAATTAAGGGTTAAAAATGCGGACTGGGCGGTTTTGCTTCTAACAGCTTCATCTAACTTTGACGGGCCATTCACAATGCCCGTCGATTCTAAGAAAGACCCCGCCAAGGAATGCACTAACAGAATTAGCTCGATTCAGAAATTCTCCTACTCTGATCTCTATGCCCGTCATCTGAGTGATTATCAGAATCTTTTCAATCGGGTCTCGTTGCGACTGTCGGGAAGCTCGAACAGAACAACGGACGCAGTTTCAACCGCTGAAAGGGTGCAATCTTTTAAAAAGGATGAAGACCCTTCATTGGTGGAACTTCTGTTTCAATATGGTAGATACCTGCTTATATCATCTTCAAGGCCTGGAACTCAAGTGGCCAACTTGCAAGGCATATGGAACAAAGATGTTCAGCCACCATGGGAGTATGTATCTTGGGAGATTCTTTGTTGATGGTGTCTCGAATTCTCTTAACCACATATTTTAACTCCATTGTTGAGCTAATTCTTTTTCTGTGATGATGCAGTGGTGCTCCTCACTTGAACATTAATCTTCAGATGAACTATTGGCCTTCTCTTCCTGGTAATATCAGGGAGTGCCAGGAGCCATTGTTCGATTATATGTCAGCTTTGTCAGTCAACGGCAAGAAGACAGCAAAGGTAAGATTTCTTCCTTTTCTACCGACCGATATATCAGAATGCAGATCTCACTAGATGTATCGTTGGTAAAAGACACTTGTGGTTAACGTAGTTGCATACATGTGCAATACTACACCCTTATGTATATATATGTGTATATATGCAAAGAATGTGAGCTCGTGCGTCACAAAAATATTGTGCCAAGTTGTCTGAGTCGGGATAACCTTTTTCATTGCATTGAAGCAATCTTATTGTATAGTCCTTTTTCATGCTGTAGGTCAATTACGGAGCAAATGGTTGGGTGGCACATCAAGTCTCAGACATATGGGCAAAAACCTCACCGGACAGAGGTGAGGCTGTCTGGGCGCTATGGCCAATGGGAGGAGCTTGGCTCTGCACTCATTTGTGGGAGCACTATACATACACGATGGACAAGGTAGAGTCCCTGGTTTTTTCGGGTTCTTTAACCGATCTCTGTATCTGTCTTTTGGTCCATACGCTTTAGCTCTTTGTACCCTTTCACGAATTGCTCCCCATCTGTTCGTCTTAGGAATTCCTGAAAAATAAGGGATATCCATTGTTGGAAGGATGTACACTGTTTATTTTGGACTGGCTGATCGAAGATAAAGAAGGATATCTCGGGACTAACCCCTCGACCTCTCCTGAGCATATGTTTACTGCTCCCGACGGCAAGCAGGCTAGTGTAAGCTACTCCTCAACCATGGATATCGCGATCATAAAGGAAGTCTTCTCTGCAATAGTTTCTGCTTCAGAGGTAAGAGGAAAAGAAAGAAAAAAGAGTTTGATCTAAACCAACAAGTGTGTTGCATAGTAACAGAAACAATGGAAGGAATCCCACCCCATCTTTGTTGCTTATCTGTGTCAACAGGTGCTGGGAAAAGCGAATGATACTCTCATACAGAAAGTCCTCGCTGCTCAAGCAAAGCTTCCGCCCACAAGAATTTCAAAGGACGGTTCCATCATGGAGTGGGTGAGTTAACTCAGTCTTACGACTTTCGTATATGCTTTTGTGAAGGCATATCTCATATATTTTTTTTTTCTCACGCCCGCGTTCTCTTTCTCTTCAAATGCTTTATAAGGCACAAGATTTTGAGGACCCGGATGTACATCACCGGCATGTTTCGCACCTCTTTGGCCTCTTTCCGGGTCACACAATTACACCCGAGAAATCTCCAGAACTTGCTAAAGCTGCAGAAGTGACTCTCAACAAAAGAGGTCTGTAATCTGTTTTTATTTCTCTCATTCTCTTCTTTTATGAAAAATGCCCTTGAAGCAAAGTGTTATATAATTTGTATTGACAAGAAAAAGTTGAACTGATGCAGGGGATGAAGGCCCAGGGTGGTCGACCACCTGGAAAGCCGCTTTATGGGCACGGCTTCACAATAGCGAGCGTGCTTATCGAATGGTTAAGCATACATTTGATCTGGTGGATCCGTTAAATGAGCGTAACTATGAAGGAGGGCTGTATAGTAACTTGTTCACTGCCCACCCGCCGTTCCAGATCGATGCAAACTTTGGGTAAGTCACTTTCTTACAACATCATATTATCGTCTCACTTTGTGTTGGAAGTTTACATTTCTTTGCATATATGTTACAATCTAGGATTCACCATTCAATGACGGTTTATGTTACAATGTTACAATGTAGGATTCATCGATGGTTTATGTTACAAATCAAAATCAAGTATAGGAAGTTTCCAATATAGGATCGATCACTATCTAACGGCTAAGGTATCAATTCAAAATATTGAAAAAGAAAGAAAGAAATTCTATCAAAAGAGACATATATGCTAGAGAATTGGGAGTTCCTATCGTAATGCACGACTACTTAAATGGGGGATTCACCGAAGGTACTAGTGTGGCTCATTATCGCTGAGATAATAGTTCTTACTACTTTTTGCTCGATCCTTTTCGGGCTCAATTCTTGTTTTTTTTTTTTGGACATAAGAACAGGAACAATGATCGATTGCTCTTAAACTCAAAACCTGTTATGCTCTGCAGATTCACAGCAGCAGTAACAGAGATGTTAGTGCAGAGCACGACGAAGGAACTGCACTTGCTACCGGCGCTTCCGACGGGAAAATGGCCCGACGGTTGTGCGAAAGGGATAAGGGCACGTGGCGGAATAGCGGTAAGCGTTTGCTGGAGGGAAGGTAACCTCGTAGAGTTCGGTCTCTGGTCGGAACAACAAGTGATGACCACATTAGTCTACAGAGGAACCACTTCCACTGCGAAGCTGTTCCCCGGAAGAGTTTATACATTTGACAAAGACTTGAACTGTATTCGGACAGAGAGGTTATAGAGTGATTCATAAACGAGTATTGTTGTTTCCGTACGTACTTTTTTTTTTCGAAAAAAAGTGTTCTCTACTATCCGGACAATGTCAAATTTGCATTTTTTTTTTCCCCATGTATTTTGGTATGTATTGATTATTTTGGAGAAAATCATATATTTGATCATTTTTACAATAATTCTATAGGTCGACTTAGGTTTTATTTTGATTTTGTATGTTTACTTAAATATTTTAAGAAAATTTTGTTTTTATGTAGATTATAAATCAACGTTGATATTTTAAAAACAAATTGGTATGTAGAGTAAGTAAACAACCATATCTTATTAGGCAGAAAACGACGATGGGCAAGACTGGGGCCTTGGATGGAAAAGGAAGCAACATCTCAAAGGTCAACGGTTAACGACAAATTAACGGCAGTAATTTTCACCTCATCGATGGGACGTCACATGTATACCAATTTCCGCATATTTCGTTCTCGAATCATATTGTACTGGACAAAATACCGATTTTGATACCATTTGTAATGACACGTGAAACGTGAATGTTGCAGATGTTAAAAGTGTCTTTACCAACTAACATGATATTTTTTAGCATGTTTTGCAGTCACTCGCATATATTATATGAAGTATTTTTCAAGAAGAGAGTAATCTCGGATAAAACAATCGTAAAAATAGATATATCTCGTTATTATGAATAGTACAATCAATTTTTTTAATTTATTATTAACCGTGTAGTATAATATCTACACAGGTCTCGTATATTGAATAATATAATTATTGACTACACAGTTATCATGTATCTCTCATTCCGATACATTTGATTTATCGGCTATCTTTCTTACCTAAAAATCTACCAAAAACCGTTCTTTATCCGTACCTCTTACACAATTCACGTCTATCTATATTTTCTCCATTTGATTTAATAAAATATCTTGTATGAATTGGTACCAATGGATTGAAAATGTTGTGTGTGTGAGTAAGTAAGAGCAAAAAAATAGAGTTCAAGAAAAGGTAAAAGTATTTATGGTTTTTTATTTTAAAAAAAAAGTAAATTAATTCGGAAACACCACAAATTCTCAGCGTAAAAGACACTGCCATTCACCAAATGCTCATCGACCGAATCGATCGATTTCAGGATCAAACATAACCACAAAGTAGTATTTTATGGTGACTCTAAATAAGCTTACACACACACACACATATATATATATATATAAGCATTGCGCAGTAGACGTTGTTGATGTTTACCCCTTCTGGATGGCTCGGAAGTTGCCAAGAGTTTACAATTTCTGCGGGATCTTCAGCTTTTGAGTCGTCTGCTTAACCACGGGAAGCCTCTGGCTGATTCGGCTCGGGTCACTATACACTGATGAATCCATTGGATACCCTTTCTGCCGACAAAGAGGGCAAACTCGGAGTTACCGAAAGAAATGATAAAAAAAAAAGGAAGACGAAAGCTCGAGACTCTATGATTCGTCAATCGGCTGTTATAATCTGATTAAAGACGGGATTATTTTGAAACTTTGGTGCTGAAAATGAAGAAAACTAACTGCGGATTGAGACTGAAACGTGGATTCTCTCCAACAGCTTTCACGGACAACAGTGGGTGTCTCGCCCTTGTCAAAGACGCAATGCATTCTCGTGTCCCTTAATCTCATGAGAACACCGTCAACTCTCAGCTGTAAATGCAACAAAGTAGAAGGTGAAGAAAATTACAACCCAGTCAAATATCCGCGAATGATCCGGCACTCGAGCATTGACATTAGGGAATTTGCTGTTCTGACTCACCCAAAATCGTAAAAGAAGAAACCAGGAAGTTGGCATGACTCTCTGAAAGAAAACAGAAGAGCAAGAGGATCATCGGTCACTAAATACCTTATACACGATCAATATTCATCGTTACGGAAGAATGTGAGTAGGATAAAGATTCGAGATCTTATTTTACCACTTTCACTGTCAGAAGTGACACCCCATTATCAGCCAGTTCATCTTCATACAAAACTACCTGAAGGAGTAAAGGATTAACACATATCAAAGGCCATGGAAGAGTTTACCACAGAAGAAAGTATATGTGTGTTCTTGTTAGAGACGGAATGGACCTCATCATAGAAGAGAATAGGTTCTTTAAGTGAGAGAGCCGCCAAATCAATCCGCTCTTCACAGTTCTCCCATCGAAGACCGGTTTCCCCGTCCAAATCTGCATCTGCCCCTTGCTGCATTGTATTAGAAACATCGTGTACAAGCGATTATGAATAAAACTGAACTGACATCATCTTAAGTGGGAAAAAAGGGGTGAACATGATCCAAGGACAAACCTTTTCTTCGCCTTTCGAAATCACTTCACTTCCAGAGTACGGGGTTGTAAAAGTATAATCGTAATCTAGTATCACCTGTTGAGATGGCTTGCTGCAGATACAGTTTCGTATAATGCAACAAAGGGCATCCATCTGTTATGGCAATCATGCAATTGGTCAATAAGAACCTGAGCTTGTCATCAATTTTACCTCCGGAATTTCCACTGTGCAGCAGCGGGAACCTCAACAGGAGGCAACCCTTCCTGCTTCCAACCGATGAGTGCGTCAAAGGCATTAAAATGGATCTTAGTGTCGCTTCTTATGTGTTTTAGGACTAAAGCATTGTCGCCAAATACCATCTCCGGTAAATGAGATGTCTGAAGCTTTTCTTCCCACCTATAAGGGATAACCAAACATTGGATTCGTTACTGTAATAACAGTTTAAAAAAAACTTATGCAACACAAAAACAGAAAACTAGAGTTAAATATTGAAAAAATATAACAATGCTGTAGAAATCGATGGCGCAAGGAAGCCTCGACGAAATCAACAGATGAACAAAACTTCTGCAAGAAAGACGCAAGCATACTTTCAATATCTTCCATGAACAATTTAAAAGAAAATTGAAATCGCACCCAAAAATGAAAAGAATAGAAGCGATTAGCCCTATACCCCCACGCTACGAACTCATAAGTTCATTCTCAGCACAAAACACAAACAAAATCATCTCCACATACGGAATCAAAATTCTCCTCATTCAAATTCCAAAACCTCCGACCGCCTGTCTCAAGGACATACACCAATCTATGTGTGTGTGTGTGAGAGAGTGAGAGATAAAGTACTGTTGAAGAGCGAGAGAGTTGAGGATCGAGCCACGGAGAGACTCGATCTCCCAACCATGGATGCGCAAGCCTCGGCGTCCGTCGGGCAAAATCTCTGCACCGGCGGATTTCAGCGTCTCCTCGTTCACCTCAACCTCCATCGCTGTCGCCGGAAAAATCCGAGAAACTGGTTCGGCTTTCCTACCGAGTTCGTTACCGATTTCCTCTATGGGCTTTGTAACCGAGTTTTTGGGCCTATTGGGCCTGATCATATACGTGGGCCATTGGATTTTTTCTTTTGGACAACCTATTTGAGATTTTTTCTTTGGTATATTTCAATTTTTTCTTAGAAATTTCCTTCTTTTTTTTTATAATGCCTGATTTATGAATTATGATTACTATTTTTATGATGATTATTCTCCGAGTTTTCTTGTTTATTATTTTTCCTACTTTTTAACAGGAAAAGAATCATACAATATATTTTCATAATAATTTGTTTATACAAACTAAACAGAGATTTAAAAAACAAACTAAAAAACCTATCAACTATCTAATTTACTCAAAAAATTAAAACTATTAATTTTAAGTAAAAATATCTATCAACTATCACAATATAATAAAATTTATATAAATATTTAGTTGATTTAGATATTTAGAATTGTACAATTTATATTTTTTTTCAAAATTAATAGAATAATATAACAAGTTTAAAATAAAATGTTTTTACTATCTTAAATTGGTTATGTTTTTTTTCTCAAAATTAATAGTTAATAGATTTTTATAACATATTTTAAATTTTTTTTTCAAAATTAATAGTTGATTAATTTTTATAAAAAAAATAGTTTTTAACTATAAACTTTCGCTAGCATATTATAAGATTATTTTTGGTTATAATTATGTGTATATATATAATATTCATTCTAAGATTAACCTCTATTGAAAAAGTAATTGGGATCTTAAAAAAATCTTATATTCATTTGTACGAAACTAGTAAATAGTAATACAACAAGATGTGTTTTAATTCAATATGTTTGTTTTTTTATATATTTTAAAACATTCTATTCATTTTTTATATTATCATTTAGTTAGTTTACTTCTATTTTTGAAAAATACTAACAACAATAACATCGCCTTAATCCCAAATTTATTTGGGGTTGGCTCCATGAATTCTTCTTTTCCATTCATTTCGGTTTTGCGTCATATCTTCCGATATTTGTAATATATCTAAATCATTTCTAATGACTCGTTCTCAAGTAAGTTTATCCCTACTCCTTCCTCGTTTCTTCACTTTCATCTTTATACTCTCTAATTTTTTAACCAGAACGTCTAGTGGTCTACGTTTTACGTGTTCAAACTACATTAAACATGATTCAAGTAATTTTTCTTCAATGATTATAACTCTCAGTTTCTCTCTAATATTTTCATTTTTAAAAAATACTAATTTTCTAAAATATTCTTTATCATTTCATTATATATGATTTATATTCAATTCATATTCAATTGATTTAATATTAAAAATATTATTCAATCGATTATCATATTACATTCAGTTAATTGTATAAAAACAAATCGAATAATATCTAACAAATCAAAATATATGAATTAAAATATAATTAGTACCAAACAAAACCTCGAATAAATTTGCAAGATATTATAATAGTATCAACGGGCTTTTTAAGACAAAATATAAAAGTAAAAAATAATTGAAAAAGTAACAATCCGAGAATCCCCTTAAGTTAACCAAACATTAGGTCAAATAATGACAACTAATGGTCAAAGAACATAAAACAACTTTGAATGATTAAAAAGAAAGATTCAACATTTATAACTGAATGAATAATTAGACGGTTTTTTAATCACGAAATTAATCATTAAGTTTCCATGCAAATTAAGCAACCAATATACGTATTTTTTTTTAAAAATATATATTTTTTCATCACAATGCTTGGTTGTACTTAAAAGATGGGTACGGAAGCATTTTCGTACAAAATTCTCCTGCCTTATGATCTACTCATATTTTCGAAATAACATTTAATTGTTTTTAAGTATACTATGCCACATGCAAGAAAAATAACAGAAACTTCCATATGTATAAATATATACAAATTTTGGCTAACCTTTTAATCCAAGTTTGTGTTAACGGCCATATGGTCAACTAAGACTATAATATTGGATTATCAGAATATTTCTTATTTAGTTATTTTTTTAAAATGAAAAAAAAAGGCATCGAGCTTTTTGAATTCGTTACTACAGCGGCATCTCCTTTGTCGCTTTCAAAATTCAAATGGGTCGGTTCGGTTCGGTAGAAGCACACCAAAATGTAATAATGTGAAAGACAAAAAAAAGATTAATTAAGTTAATGATGGAATATTATTTTAAATAAAATTTCCCAAGAATCGGATTCTCTATATATATATATATTAATTCAACTTATTTTTGTGTGATTTTGTTATATCGTCAAAATTTTATTCATCTGATTTGTATACTGTTTTTAGTTAGATTTTATTTGAATACACATTGTGATCAGTTTTGTTTTAAAAAAATATATTCTAAAAATATTTTCGTTTTCATTTGGGTTTTTCCGGCACGAATTTGTGAGTTTGATTTTAAAAATTCATATTCAAATAGATTTTAGATTGAATCTTTAACGAGTTTGTCAGCACTAATGCTAAGTAAAAAAAAAAAATCTTAACATTATTGATGATAGTTTTGGGAATATTAATAAGTTGTGATTTGTTTTATGCTTTAAAGTGGTATGTATTTTTAGTGCGCTTAAGATAAAATACAATCAAATTTTTCTTTGGAAGTCGATATATATATGTTTGGATAAAATCTTTATAATCTAAAATGAATTTTCTTAACATTAGAAAATAAGATTAATCTTATTTTGAAAAAATGAAAGAGAAAATGAAGTTGAAAACCATTGAGAATCTGTTTTTTTTTTTGGAAATTGATTTATAATTCCCTAAAGAAAGAAATAAATGTTTGGAAATCACATTATATTTATACATGTACGCAAATAATTGAGAGCGAAGAAAAATGTATAAATTTATAAAAAAAAATTACATGGAAAATTAAATGAAGCGCAAGGAAAGGAAGCGGAAAGAAAGGGCGCACGTGAAGAAATTCCTAAGTCCACGAACTCGAAATCTTGAGAAGATCTTATGGCGGTGTGGCGGTTGCTTTTTTTAATTTTCTTAATTTGTCTTCGGAAACACCTTACTCTTTTTTTTTTATAATTCTTTTTATTATCTATGCGACCGTCTAATTGTATTTTTTTTTAATTTCATGTTTTTTTTTTGTAACGGCAACATGCCCCGAAAATGCGACATGAAACCTCCAACAAATTATAATAATCCCATCTTATATATTGTTTTTATATCGAATGCTTTTAAAAACGGATTTCTTATTAATAAAAAAAACATTTTTTTTGTTTGAGCAGCAAAGCGAGTGATTATTGATATTCGAACATGGATACAAAAGCAAATGGGATGGAACTTGCATTTCACAACTAAATAAAACTCGAACAAAAGGATGCCTTTGAATTCGATTTATAATTGAAATAGATTATGTAAATTATAGATAATTAATATAAATTAGAGATATAAATCATTTAAGAAATTAAATATTAATTATTTCAATTATGATTAGTTGTCATCAAATCTTATTTCTTGTAGTTTGTTTTCTTTATTTATTATGATCCTTTTACCTATAAATACGTAATATATTTTCATTATAAGTAAAAAAAAAACGTAGAAATTATAAAAGTGATTCTGCTATTTTTCTCTATAAAGTATAAATATTTTAATGTAAAAATAAAAGTGATCCTGTCGTTTTTTACCTTTTTTTTTAAAAAAAAATCGTGTTATAATCCCTAACATAAAGAATATCAATTAGATCAGCCACTTAATCATATAATTTAATTTATGTCAAGTTATTGTCATGTGGAATCGAGAGATGAAAGAATGACGAGACTCTTTATACGAGAGGGGGATGACATGGATATGGAAATGGAGAGGCAGGAAAGCATGCATGCATGGAATTAGGCATTTGTCTCACGTGCCCAAGGACCCATCCTTTTCCACCACCAACACTCTTCCCCCTCGACAGCCCCGCGGTTTACGTTCCTCCTCCTCCATTTATTTATTTATTATAAACGGAACATGAAAAAAAAAAAGAAAATTCGAGAAAAAAAGTTTCTATTATAATATACTAGAAGAACTAAGTGTGATTAGACTGATTTTTGTGGAAATTTATTGTATTATAGCTACCAAAAATATATTATACTAAGAGACATATATCTACGCATATAATTAATAATAGAAACACTTACCCCCAAATATATACACATGTATATTCTCGTATTAACACACAAATATCGCATGTCAAAAGAAAAACGATGTTTTTATATATAAAATATGACGCATGACCCATTAGGTGGTGGTCCAATGGTATAATGGATGATAAAATCATTTCAACATCATGAGTTCGATTTCACTAACAGAGAAAAGGAGATGCAATTAATTGCATGATTAAAAGTTGATTTTAAATCCAAAAAGATTAAGTGATCGAAATATAAGAAAACCTCATGGTTATAAAAAAAAAATGAAAACAAAAAAAAAAGGTAAAAGAAACTTCATTAATTTGTTGGTGAGCCCATGTTTCGTTTCCTTTTGTCTATATATTCTCGGTTCATATTTGAATATATAATTCAAACTTGTGGATAAGTCATTGAGTTTCCCGTTTTAGATTGATGAATTGGCACTTGATTCCTGACTTGCATTTTCTACATTAATTATCAGTTTTGATATATAATTTTGTCTCACGTTTGCATTATTAGATTTATGATTAATAGAGTGGTCAACATAGACTACTTGAATTTATATATATATATATATATATATATATATATAATGATATAAATATCGTAAAACAAGTCTTATTCACATATAAACTATATGGTTAATTAGCCCCATCTTTTTTTTTAATCTCATACAACATATATTTATACATCCAGAATGTTGATTATTTGATGGTCAGTGTTGTTATATGTATCGAGGGAAGTCAAAATGGAATAAAGACAATACACGAAAGAAAAAAAAACTATAATATATAAATGCAACATATAATTGTTTATTAAGATAATTAAACACTCACAAAACATTAAAAAAAATGATAATGAATATATGTAATGTGCAGAGAGTTAGGAACATGTTTTAAGGAAATCCTGAACCAGATATAACTCAATGTCTTTGAAAACATTAATTAGATTTATTATTCCATAGTTAATACATATACAGTTAGGGATATATATATTCTTTAGAAATCAAATTTTCTTGTATAATATGTTATTTTAGAGATGATTATTTTGGTTATTATGAACGGCCAAACTATACTAACGAATCAATTGGATATTAGAAGATGTGATTTGGTTTAATTTGGACATTTTGTTTTAGTTTGGAAGAAAATTAACTTTCTTTGGTTTAAATTATTATGAAAACTAACGATATCGAAAAATATTTTGGGAGAAAATTATGATATCGAAACGCATAAACAATAGTGTAAAGGATTATATATATATATATATATATATATATATATATGTATTAAAATATTATATAAAAACGAGAAAGAGAGAAGAAAAAAATGCGGGAAAAGTGGGACAAGTGGGGGAGAAGGGAAACGCGTACGAGAAGGAGAGAGAGAGAGAGAGGGAAAGAAACAAAACTAACGGGCAAAGAGATATGCTAAGGTGACATGGCTGTGTCCTAAGCCCCACATGCTTCGTGGGCCCCGTCTTGTCCCCTACCCGACCTCCATTTCCCCTGCATCCATCCTTTTCTGCCTCATTCTTTTTGTTCTCTCTCTCCATTTAACTAAATAATAAATATATTTTGTTTTCCCCACTTAATTTTAAATAAATCGATTAAAATATCTTTTAATTTTAAATTGTTATTTTTTTTTAACTCCCCCAACAAAATTCTCCAGCCTCCTCCTCCTTCCGACCACCTTCCTGTTTAAAAAAAAAAAAACTGTTTATTTTAATTTAACAAATGGATAGTAATAATGATTATTGTTGCATTTATGTTTCCACCGCATGTTACATCTGAGTTTTTTACGTTGTCTGCTATAATTCATCATTGTGCTCTGCTGGTCATTTAGTCAACACAACATTTTTCTTTTGAACTCAAACAATTCATGTTTTTCTTTTTAGGATATGTGCTTTGATTATATATTGATTCTTTTTTCGAGTTTATTTTTAATTTTAGGTTTTGAATGGATATAATTTTTATTTTGAGTTTTAATTTTGGTTTTTGGTGATAGTTTTTATTTTGGTTTCTGGTTTTCTATTTTTATAATATATGTAAATCTAAAAAATAGAATTTTTTTGGTTTTAATTAATTGCTTCACTAAAATGTTTACCAAATTTTTAGGAAAATCAATTTTATAAAATCTTGATTGTAAATTATTTTAGTTTTTGGATTTTAAACCCCCCAAAAATCTCTTATATTCAACCTCTTAGTCAATTTTAAATTTTGTTCGGTTGTATTTTATGAAGAATTACATTAATTTTCAATATTAATTCCCATTTTATTTGATTTATTAGCTGTTTCATGTTGAATTTCAATACAATTAATTTCATTTGATTATAATTTGATTTAGATCTGTTTTTTAGATAATAAAATGGAAATATATATCTGTAATTGGTAATAAATTTTAAGATTCAATTATACAGTATATCCTTTTACTAGGAGAAACACAATGAATAAAATGTCTTTATGTATAGATTTGGATTTATTATTAGGGATATAGTTCTTATTCCTCATGATTAAATACATTGATTGTGATGACCTCCAAAAAGCAATAAAAGATATTTAAAACGTGTGCAAAATAATATCTTCGTAGAAATTATGGGAAATTAAATACAAAAATATATATACACGGGAAAAAAAATCATTTCTAACTTTATAGATTGAGCTTATCCCATAATTAACCATTCGTTAGGCGCGTCTGACGTGGCACTCACAAAGTGCGTACTCACACCTCCCTCTATATAAATAAACCCACGCACTTCTCCCTAACCCAAACCATCCCTTCAACCAAAAACCATAGTCTCCTCTCTCTCTCTCTCTCTCTCTCTCTCTCTCTCTCTCTCTGAGCAAGAACACATAAAACCAGAGCAAAAATGGCAGTAGACTCGAACCTCTCATCGACGTTGGGTCCACCGGCGTGCGAGAAGGACGCGAAAGCTCTGAAATTCATTGAGGAGATGACCCGAAACGCGGACGCCGTTCAGCAGAACGTGCTGGCCGAGATCCTGACGCGAAACTCCGACACGGAATATCTCCGCCGCTTCGGTCTAGACGGAGCCACCGACCGTGAGACCTTCAAGTCGAAGCTTCCGGTCATCACCTACGAGGATCTCCAGCCCGAGATCCAGCGCATCGCCAACGGTGACCGGTCCCCGATCTTGTCGGCTCATCCCATCTCCGAATTTCTCACCAGGTTCGATTTCTTGAGACACCCTTTTCGTTTCTTGTTCCGGCTTCGTGGGAAAACTGGTCGGATTGGTGAGAAATTTGTGCTGAACTTCGGTTTTTGTTGCAGCTCGGGGACATCTGCTGGGGAGAGGAAGCTCATGCCCACCATTAGAGAAGAGCTTGATCGCCGTCAGCTTCTTTACAGTCTTCTCATGCCCGTCATGAATCTGTAAGTCTCTGTACCAAAAAAATGTGCTTTTTGCCATGGTTGTTTTTTAAAAATTTTACAATCTTATGGTTTTAAGAAACTATTGCAAATACTGGAATTTTTTTAGTAATGTTTCTCCACGTAATTAACAGTTTTACATCACGCCGACAAAAATGGCAGATTTTAACTGCATGCATGTTCTTCGTCGGTCAAAAAGACCGTATGTTCCGCATGTTCCACTCGGGATCCATAAAAATAATCAACTCCACGACAAAACCCATGACGTAATTTTTGTTATTTCCCATGATTTCATGCCTCGAGATTGACAAAAGCGTTGACTTTTTCTTTTATGGTTTTCAGGTACGTGCCTGGTTTGGACAAGGGTAAAGCGATGTACTTCTTGTTCGTGAAGTCAGAAACGAAGACTCCCGGCGGGCTCTTGGCTCGTCCTGTCCTCACCAGCTACTACAAATCCGACCACTTCAAGTCACGACCGTACGATCCGTACAACGTGTACACGAGCCCTAACGAGGCCATTCTCTGCCCCGACTCGTTCCAAAGCATGTACACTCAGATGCTCTGCGGCCTCCTCGACCGCCTCTCGGTTCTCCGGGTCGGAGCCGTCTTCGCCTCTGGCCTCCTCCGAGCCATCCGGTTCCTCCAAATGCACTGGCCCCGGTTAGCCCACGACATCGAAACCGGTTCTCTCGACCAGCAGGTAACCGACCGGTCTGTAAGAAATTGCATGGACGGTATTCTCAAACCGGACCCGGTTCTCGCCCGGTTTATTCGCGGTGAATGTGAGAGTAACAACTGGGAAGGGATCATCACCAGGATTTGGCCTAATACCAAATACCTAGACGTCATCGTCACCGGAGCCATGGCTCAGTACATTCCCACGTTGGATTATTATAGCGGCGGTCTCCCGATGGCATGCACCATGTACGCATCGTCTGAGTGCTACTTCGGCTTAAACCTTAACCCGATGAGCACACCGTCCGAGGTTTCGTACACGATCATGCCCAACATGGCCTACTTCGAGTTCATACCTCACGACCCGTCGGGTCGCGACCCGCCCCAGGACCTCGTAGACCTCGTGGACGTGCAGATAGGAAAAGAGTACGAGCTCGTGGTCACGACCTACGCCGGTCTGTGCCGCTACCGGGTTGGCGACATCCTCCGGGTCACGGGCTTCCACAACTCGGCCCCGCAGTTTCACTTCGTCCGGAGAAAAAACGTTCTCCTAAGCATCGATTCGGACAAGACCGACGAGTCTGAGCTCCAGAAAGCGGTCGAGAATGCGTCCAAGCTGTTGAGCCCGTACGAAACGCGAGTCGTCGAGTACACGAGCTACGCTGACACGAGCACCATCCCGGGTCACTACGTGGTGTATTGGGAGCTTCTGGTCAGGGATCCGAGTAACGGGCCGCGTCACGAGGTTCTGGACCGGTGCTGTCTGGAGATGGAGGAATCGTTGAACTCGGTTTACCGACAGTGCCGAGTCGCGGACAACTCTGTCGGGCCACTGGAGATTCGGGTCGTGAAGAGTGGAACGTTCGAGGAATTGATGGATTACGCGATATCGAGAGGAGCGTCGATAAATCAGTACAAGGTTCCGAGGTGCGTGAACTTCACGCCCATTGTCGAGTTGCTTGACTCGCGAGTCGTCTCGGCGCATTTTAGCGCCGGTTTGCCGCATTGGACGCCGGAGAGATCAAGGAGATAATGTCGTCATTTTACATTTTTTTGTTTTGTTTGTTTTTTTAATGTGATTGAGTAATTGAGATCTGGGGGGAAGAGAAAAAGTCAAAGGGTAGTGTTTGGTTTGTAATATAAGTAGATTCTTGCTTGTGATTGTAGCAATTTTTTTTAATGATGTTTGTGGGATCAATTAGTGTTTCTGTTTGTTTGGGGATATTATTATCCCAAGGGATTAATTAGTGGTCCAATCACTTGACATGTGATGAACCATTGTTTATTTTGCTGAAAGATGTTTGGTCATCATTTTTTTATTTGTACAAATTGCGCATTTTTACAAGAATATGGACAATATAAATAATGCACATTCGGTTTCATAGGATTTTATAGTATAACAAATATTAAATAGTTTTTTTAGTTGTTTTATAAGAATCTTTGATCATTACATACGTTTGAAGAAAAATCCGAATTATCTTGGATTAATATAAATTTCAACTCAGCTTAATATATATATATATATATAAAAATTTTATATGGTAATAATAGAATATGACCCATTTACAAATTATGTAAAAGGGTTTCTACATTGTGTTTGATACAACTTCAACAACATAAAAACAAAAAATTATAACATCAATGATATTTTTGCAACAATTTGCGACTCTTAACGGATCCTACACTTCCCTTGCATAGAAGTACATTGACAACATGTAGACGTGGACTGTTTCTCCACATAAACTATATAATATTTTTTATATACAATCCACAAATACACATTTATATGTATGTATATATGAATCAAGATACTAATATAAAATAAGAAGAAAAAAAATCAGTATGGAGGGGCCAAAAACATGGGCAAGAAGGGAGTTAGAGGAAAGAACAAAATGAATGTGGGTTTATACTTTATAATATATATATATATATGTATATATACTGAATGTGGGTTTATATACTTTATAATATATATATATA